ATAAGATCATTTGTGCAATTTGCGGCAGAATCCCAGATGAGAATGGAAAGGTACTCAGTGCTCCGGTAACGAATCAACTTCAAGATTTATGGACGAAATCATGGACGAAAACCGCCGTCGTTGAAAGTTGCAACTGTTCCTAAGAAAGCTGTCTCCACGAACCTAGAATTCGAAGGTGATAATGAAGCAGAAATCCCTAGAAACCGCTTACTATCTGAAAAAGACGTTTCAGGCACCCACCTTATGAATCACATACTTTTCAGCAGACGGTTAATCCAGTGAAGAGTTGATTACAAGATACAGCCTTTAGCGAACTCATTGCATATATATCAGTCTAACTGATCCTGTGGAGCATAGAGTATTACCCGCGCACAACGTCAGGTCTGTAAACCTATTCTGGTCAAAGCACTATACAGAGTTCCTCAATATTTCACCACAAGACTTGAAACACATCATCGTTTATAGCCGAATCATTGGTTTTTGGGGACCCAAAACAGGACCTCTAGTTCCGAAAGCACTACACACATTTACTCACCTTACGGTGGCCAGGTTAACGTTCCTACCATAATTTCGCCGCATTTTATTGTGTTAGTTACTTATTGTTTACAGTCCCGTATGTCAGTCGTTCCGTAATGTAATAACATTACATTTTCATGCAGGTTCTCTATAAACATTTTACCGTCTTTCCACTGGTTTCTGTCCACTTTGTACATAAACTGATCAGTCATTTTTCACAGTTATGATATCATTTCAACTTCCTTTTTTTCCAGTTTCCACTTGGTCATTCATTCTAGATTGCATCTCAAATTGGGCGATATACTCCCTTCACAAGATTTACCAGTATCTCGTTGGTCTTATGAATGATATATGTCTCTTCACCCTTGTGACTCAGGATAAGAATTTAATACTTTTCTGACTGTTATCGGCTGACGAAGAAGATCACACTGAACTTTTGCATGCTTGCAAGCATGACGTCCTGGCATAAAATATTCGACTGACGTACTTGTTTAGACCCGGGCCATAACCAGTCAAGGAACGAATAGCAGGACGGAAATATTTGAAAAGTCGTTTGCTTGGTTGAGGCGTATGTCCAAACAACAAGCGGTGGTGCGTGAGTAGTCGTCGGTAATCCTACTCTATGTCTAACAGCAAAAATGGTTGATCAAGTCAGTTCGATTGAACAAATTCGTTGTTACACTTGTGCTCAACTTTAAACGATGAACATAATGCATTCAAAGCAAAGAGTTTTAAGAAACCATCAGTGCTCTAAGTAAACGTCTTTCGACTGATTAAGTCGGCGTCTTAGCGAAAAGTTTTTGAATGTAACCAGTAAAAACTTTCCAAATCACTAGAACTTTAAGTAATTAAATATATTGAAGCTTAGAGGAAAACAGGAATTCACTTGATGAAATATTTTATACTCTTGGTATAGGTAAATTTCACATTTACTCATGCCACAATTTTGACGTAACGCTACACTTAAAGTTCAGGCAAGTGTTTACATTGTAACACGTCAGTGCGGCTTGTATGAAATATTTACCTAATGCTGTTTGGATTTTCGGTTATAGTATTACTGTTGACGGCTTCATTTATTTCTTTTGCCTTTCATAAATTTTATTACGTTGTTCTTACTCTTTTTACTTTGCATATCATAATTTTGTAGGACACACAAGAAAACGTAGAGTTAATGTGGTTTTGAAAACTAAGATATTTTTGTTTAATCTGACTCTAAAAACATCTGGTTACTATATTTTCGAGCTTAAATGTTTATATGTTTATCTGTCACTAGAAATTTTAACTTTATTAGCCCCTAGCATCAGTAAACATAGTTCCAGCTGGATCTTAACTGGGACGCTACTCAAAGTTACCTACTGTTTTTATGCCACACAGTTCATGTTTTATACTCAGCTAAGAATGTGAACGAATTCTATCAAATGCCAACACACTTGAACATGTAGGCTGAGTATTTCTTCATAAAGTCTTAGTGGAAATCCAGTCTGCTTATTTTATTCAGAGAGGTCAGTCTTATTTGCTGTCAACTTTCTTTAAGACTTCACTGTTTCCCATTCCCTTGCAGCAGTCTTGCGTTATTCAAGGGGTAATTTGGAGCCTATAGGATGGGCTTGAAATATATAAATTGTGATTTCTTGACGTCGTTAGTAGCTTAAGAAACAGGCCCAAGTTGAAGTTGCTTCATGAAGCAAACGATGAACACATCATTTTCTTTCAGTGGCCAGAGTTAGATTCTTGCAGACTGTCTGGAATAGACTCCTGAAAATTGTTATGACCTGAAGTGATGCATTTTGAAGTCAATCCCAATATATGTGCAAAGGGATATTGACGACTTCACCACCAGTTATCGTCTGGGATAATATCTGCTAATATCTGAAGCCAGAGTTTTGAGATCAGTGGAATAATGGTCACACTTAAAGTAAACTAATGTGTATCAGTCAATTGACGTGCATATATCTATTATAAAACTACCTGCTCTGTAGTCCTTTCAGTTTATTGCAGCCGGAGTGTTTGTTGAGAAAGCTGTGAAGATAAAACGATGTGTTTAACCGGCAGGTGATACAGTAAAGTTATTTCACTGATTGAGGTACTCAGTTCATATCCGAACAGTTGACTGAATACTCGAAACTGTTAATCGCTATTGGGGGTTAGCCTCTATAGTATCTGCATGTCACGTACATTAAATTGGCGGAAACGATTGTTAAAATGTAACCTAAGTGAGGGTAAGGGAGATAAATTTATTTATCGTCGGTACATTTGCCCCACTGTGATCGGTTTTGATCCACTGAAAATTTACTAATTCATACTTGTGGGTAGTAATATTGAAAAGTAGATGACCAATTACATTAACATTTTGATTATGACATCTTATTTTTCACTTGCCTTGTTTTTACTTCTGTCGAATTATTGTCATTGCTTCATGTTTATCTTTGTTCTTTTTTTTTCACTTACATGGCGTGGAGATATAGGTGGTAGCAACTTAAACCACTGCGTAGGAATGCTGTTTGAATATCTTCACGTCGTACTTACAAGATCTTAAAAGTAGGCAGGTTAACTTTCACTGAGCAGTTAATAGTTTTATTCCTCCTAAACAAATCTAACGTCCAGTTTTCACCCAGTTTGCAGACGTAATCGTTTTTGTCGTTTAAGGCAACACCAGAATAGTTTTACGGTCCCATTACTTAGTCTTTCTTTCAGAGGTGTTTCCACTTTAAAGTGTGCTAATCCATCAGAATTTTTTCAAAGCTACCGAGATACGACACTGTTTTGTATTGGAAGCTAGCTTAAATTCTCTTCTTAATTGTATGCCAGTTGCTACATTGCAGTATCAATTCTCACTCAAGATAAACTACCATCTGTGATCACAACGAATAGTTTGGGAGGTCAAATGCTCATTCATCATTTTCAGCGTGTTTATGACGTTTGTAAGAGGTTGTATAGCATAAGCTTGAGTGAGCAGTCCTCTCCGTCCTCGTTTATGGCTGTTAGACCTGGCCATTGAGAGTGGAAGACATGAAAAGGCCGGCTATCTGTTTTTGATCATAGGTGCTTGCGTTATATCTCCCGTGTGAAGTGGTATAATAAGGTGGGCAATATTAAGGTTAGGCGTCGAGTGCTAGGTTAGGAGGGGAAACCAATCGACGAGGCTGTGAAGTTATATCTATTGAGATGGTTAGGACATGTGTTGTGCATGTCTAGCCATCGCCTCCCTCGACGGACAATGTTGGTTGACATATGATCAGGTTGAAAAAGAACCAGTGGAGGTCAAATAAAAACATGGCCTCATCAGTCATCATCATTAGTTTAAGCCAAGTAGAAAGATGTAGACTTCCTGGTTGAAATCCTCGGGGCGGTAAAAACCAGCGAAGGCTAGGGACAATTGGTGATATGGCTCAAAATCGTTCTCACTGGCGCAGTTGCATCCACTCCTTGTGACTTATGATTTCCAATGAAAGTATATTGTTCTTCGTCATTACTATTCCTTTGTCTCACACCTCTGTTTACTGACCCTATTATGTATTTCTTCTACTTTCTTCTTTTGATTTGTGTGCTACATGGCCTCCAAAGCCTCAGGATGGTCGGGGGTGGGTGCCTTGCGCTGCGGGTTGGCCCTCCATACACCTCTTGAAATGCTCCCATATGACCGGGCGTCTTACATAGCCTCTCCTGAGGAAGTCCTACTCACTGCCTTCACGTGGCGGAGGTGTTTTTCACCGAAGTGGGAGGGCAAAAGCGGACACCCGGTGCTCTTCACTGGGTTGACTGTCCATTGGATGACAGTCTAGGGGAGATGGCTAAACCCTGATTCCAAACCTCCAACGACTGGCGTATGAAGCTCACCGGCAGACGTATGGACAAAGGGCTTATTGGATGCCCTGGATGTCTGGCCCCATTCAAAAAGGCGTATGAACCGGACTCCGGTCACCGGCTGCCAATGGATAGTGGACTCCCTACTCCTCTCCTACTGCCTTGTAGGTCACACTTGGTTGTGTAAAGGCTAGAACTGCACTCTCAAACAGAAGGCCGAGCGATGCTGGGGACATCATTCGTACCTAATTCCCATGAAACTTCATGAGTTCATGAAGCCGACTCATCCTCCCGTAGGAGATAGCCGAAGTAAAGTAAAGTAAGTAAGCTACATGGAGTGTGGCGACTTGATCTGCTTCAAAGTTCTATGTCGAAAAAAGACAACAAAATGTATTTGAGGGGAATGAATAGTTTCACTTGCTGAGGAATATAGTGTATACATCCATTTTAGGATATCTGGTGAAGCAAGCTTATGGGTTTTCAGTCTAAGTGTGTATAGCTTTTGATTATAGCGAAAACTGTGTTTTGTGCATAAACTCATTAAAGTCTCTTTCTCCTTCTACATTCAAAACTTACTGACTTACTTTTTCGTTGCAGGTTATCACTTGAAGATCAGCACCCATTTCATTTGATTTCTCTGTATTTTCCACAAAGCTATTCTTCAAAAGTTTTGCATACTAATGGAAAACACATATCATTGTATTTATTGTAACAGTTATGTTTCTGCACTTTATACACAATATACTGAAGAAATCATTAAAATGGAACATTGTCCCAAGTGTGGAAATATTTCTGACAAATATATTGAATATGATTTATTCTTGGTGGCTATTGATCTTCTTATCGGTCGTCTTGAAGCCTATCGTCATGTTATCCATAATATTTCTAATTTAGGCTTTAGAAAGTTACTTTGTATGTCTGTATTATTAAATGCTTTTGTTTCGTGGCTTAGTGAACAGCCAACAACTGTGATTCACTTAGAGGATCTTTCTATTTCTTTTAGTTCAGATTTATTTATTCATGTCATATCTGTATTTTTATGGTGTTTATGTTTTTGCTTGATACTCTTGCTTTTATTCCCTATATGTAAAATAGCTACTCTATCTGATATGATCAAAGTATTACTTATTGTTAACTTAAGTAGACTATTAACATTCTTTCTGTTAACATGGAAAACTGAATTTGATCGTACATTTTCAGGAAGTTTACAATTCTATCCTTTTGTATCTACATGTGTAGCAGTAACACCGTGTATTCAAAGTTTAAGAGCTGTAAATAGTCTTAATTTTACAATGGCTGTTATTTTGAGTATACTTATATGTACTGTTAGCTATATATTATCTACTCTTATATTGCCAAGTTTATTATTTATCCTGCAAATATAGTATTTACCACTTATTATTATTATTATTGTGTTTTTACGATTCACTACAAAGTAAACAAACTTGTTTTCTTATTTTTAGAGAAGTCGCTATCGCTATGAAATTTATCCTTCTACTGTATTGCTTGACTTTTGTGAATCTATGTTCATCTGACAATAGAGTTTCTGTGACATTAGTTCCGAAATGGAAAACTACACCTATTTTATCAGAGGCCAGGTAATATATGTATATATTTTTAGTAGGTTAATCCTGAAAAATTATAAAAATGTTAGATATCTTATTTTTGACATTTGGTACTTAAAAGCCTGGGCATGAGAAAGTGTGATAAAAGGCTTTACTTCAATTTATTGCATTTTTGATCGACTTTTGTTTAGAAACTAGATTTTCTATAGTTTGGTTTGTAAGGGTTAGTTTTGTATTTACGAGTTGATCACGGATTGATGTCAGTTAGAGAACCATTGAAAACCAACAGGGAGTACTGGACAGCTGTTTCATCTTAGTTTGGGAATCATCGCCGGTACACACCTACTGCCAGCGTTCGAACCCAGGACCTCCCGTTTACAAGGCAAGCTCGTATACCATTCAGCCACTGGGACCCGATTCATTGGCTCATGAATTCTAACTTCTGCCAATTCGTGTTCTGTTTTAGCGCGACCCCAGCCATTGTCGTAGGTGGGACATCCATCCTCACACGTGACATCTGGATGGACCTCACTGGTCACGACTTCTCACTAGAACTGCTGGAAACTCCACCCTGTAGCAAGTCACTAGCGAGCATCAGATTAATTTTCGTAAAAACAAAACTAACCCTTACAAACCAAACTATAGAAAATTAATCTGATGCTCGCTAGTGACTTGCTACAGGATGGAGTCTCCTGGAGTTCTAGTGAGAAGTCGTGACAAGTGAGGTCCATCCAGTCAAGTATAAAGATGGGTGGATGACCCACCGATGACATTGGTTGGGGTCGTGCTAAAATCACGAATTGATAGAAGTTAGAATTCATGGACTGGCCACTGAATCGGGTCCCAGTGGCTGAATGGTATACTAGCTTTCCTTGTAAACGGAAGGTCCTGGGTTCGAACCCTGGCAGTGGGTGCGTAGTGGCGATGACTCCCAAACTAGGATGTAACAGCAGCTGTCCAGTACTCCCTGTTGGTATTCAATGGTTCTCTAACTGATATCAATCCGTGATCAACTCGTAGAAAATAGATTATCTACATGTACAAAAATTAATGTTCCAAACCCACACACTGTACAGTAGATTCTAGAAGCTGGCACATCTTTCTGAAGACTTAGAGTATTCCTCATAAGGACTACCGTTCTAATTTTCTTGTGACCTATATTTGCCTTTGTACAGTGTAACGCAGATTCGACTTCCAGGAGAACACGAACCTCACCACGGTTTTACATGTAAAATCTAGCTTGTAAACATCTAGAGGTTTGATTTTGGAAACCGCAGTACTTTATCTAACTAGAAGTTGCACACGTCCACAAAACCAATTTATGTGTTTCAGTGTTAGCAGGTGATAAGTCAGGCGTTAAAAAACACTTGCTCCTTGTAGGTGGTCGAGATGTCTGAGGTAAATAAATAAGCCTTTATGTTGGCCGATTAGTCATTTCACAGTGGAAGTGTTCCTAAGAGCGTAATTAGATAATGTGGCTATGTTAGTCAAACGCATATATATATATATATATATATATATATATATATATATATATATATATATATATATATATATATATATGTATTTACCTAGGTGGGTAGTGAAACTATCACGATAAGTCATTGAGGTTGGGTGAACGACGAACTAGTGTTTTCATCTTTGACTGGAATTATGGTTCAGTGATCTAGACATTTAATTTTCAACTAGTGGACCACAGGTTCATATTTCACTTTTACTTTAACTAGTCCGTCTTGTTATTTTCTGTCTTCCATTATTTTTTTCTTAACAGCGAATACGTCGCCAGGGAGTCAACTTCTGCATTCTGGAGATTTTTAGATCTTATATCAGAAGATTCAGAGTTTATGCAGAAGCATTTAACACCAGGAACAGGATATCTTTCAGTGACTAACAATAGATTATTAGAGAAGAGAGTTAAAGATTTTGCTCTTCAGTCTATTGGTGGATCGCATTTAGAGAATAGCTCGATAGAAATGCATCGTCGTTTGTATACTTTATCAGTGTCATCAAGAATGTTTTCGCCAACAGTTGAAATGTTTCATCAACTCACGCTAACTAGTGCAAGTCATTTGTTAAACTGTTCATGGGAAGAAGTGTCTGGAGAATTAGTCAAACGATCTTCTGGAACAACTTGGGCTCATGTAGGTGCAGTGGCCGTTTTTTCCATTGATGAGCTGAAAGAGGCTATCAAAAATGCTAGAAATGCTGATTCACAACCAGGTTAGTTCACCACTTTTCTACAGACTAAAAGGTACCACTTTGTTTTACAATTTTTAGCTAGCCGAAACTAATGAAATCTAATTATATTTTCCAATGGTTACTGCTTTTTTCCGATGTTATCAGCAAATCCTCAAGAAAAAAGTTTATTTCTTGTTCTGTTTATTGTGCCTGTTAAAACTATCTAGTTTGTTCAGCTTCAAAAAAACGGATGTTGTCTGTGATCTGGTAATCTAACATGCATAATTTTGTTAGGTGTTCCTGAGAAAAGAATTTACGTGGTATTATTATTATTACTATTATTGTTATTATTATTCACTACTTTAGTTTTGAGTGGAACATGGGTTTCCAGCAGCACATCTCTCTTGCACTTTGTTCACTTTTATCTGGTTTCATGACTGCGCCCAAACTTTCATCTCCTCTTCACGTGGTCTCCATATCACCTTCGACTCCTGACTGGTCAATTCACATTCGGAGATAAGAAACTTAGTAACAACCGTTTCATCAGGGAAAAATACACCATATTTATGCATTTCCAACCAAATTAAAAGTCGGTTGGGTCAGCGGACAATAAACTGTTCGGATTGGTCGTCGATTTGCCCAAGGGTTAAACCTTAAGACGAAAGGTTTTCCATTAAAATTATTTCCTGGCCGCAACCTAAACTAAATGCAGATTTGAAGAATCAAAACTTCTACCTCTACAGCTAGCCACTGACTTAAAATGTTGTTTTCAGTTTTGGCTGCTTCCTAGCAACCTACATTTATGTACTACTGATAAATCTTGTCAGTAGCACACTCTGAAATATCACTTGAAAGTCTCTCCAATGCATATTCAATCCATCTCCACTTTTTCCTGCATGTTTGTTGTTGTCGGGTTCTCTGTGCTACCAAAGTTCCTAACCCTTTTTAGCCAACTATCTGATCTGCAGTTTGGAGCGAAGACTGCCGTTGATGAAAGTTGGCAGTAGGTCTGTTGGAAAAGCTTTTGGCGATGTGCCATATGAATAAAGAGGTTAATGAAATGACTAACAGGAGTATATTGACAGCACTGAACCGGATGTGATTCATAGGAACTCAATTATTTCAGCAGGTTTCCACAAATAAGTCTGGTAGATGTTAAAAAGTGACACCTCTACACCGAGTTTTGGTATATCCATAGAAGAGGATATCAATATTGGTTTTTAATGGTTCTGTAATATTTGTTTTTTTCCAATTCTGGTTACGGAATGATATCATTTAGAGAAGCACTGAAAACAAGGGAGTACTAGATAATCGTTCCATCCTTCTTTGGGACTCTCCGTTGGTGCGCACCCATGAAATCCATCGGGCATCATACTCAGGACCTTCAGGTTGCGAGGAGAGTTCGTCGACCATTCTGCAACTTGAACGGAATCTAATGACCCATAGATTCTACAAACGTATTCTGGAACACTGTCAAGCTTGGTTAACCAGAAGAGAAAAGAAGAATAGCGGCAGCTGCATCCCAAACACCTTGTCATCTCAGGGACATCGAACACCCGCACATGAATGTTTCACAGTGCTACACAGAGTCCCTCAATATCGTACAATGGACTTCGCATACGCCATCTGTACATAGCTGAAGCATTAGCTATTCGGAATCTAAAACCAGACCTCTGCATTCTAAAGTGCTACATAAATTTCTGTTCTCTGTTGTCTTGATGTGTTATTTTTTAAAAATAATTCCTTGTATCTATTGATAAGGTCATTGTCGCCTTCAACATATTACATCTTTATTTTCACAATAATCAGTTTATCGCTAATGTTTATCTGGAAGTTTGATTTATCCTTTATTCCGTGGATACATGTCGTGAATTTTTGACATTTTCTCGTAATGTTATAAGGAGGGGAACTTCATGCTGTAACGGTAGAAAACAAGAGACTTTGTAAAGGAATGTTTTTATGGGATTTGGTATCTCAATATAGCGAAATTATCTATACCTTATCTGAAAACATCACCTGCACCGATCTTCCATGTTTTCCTACTTCTGCCCTTCGTATTGTGTTCCTTTGCCGCAACGCTGGTTCATTTTCTCTCTTTGACGTGGAATTTGTCTCTCCTCTATTATGTCAATGAATGTCTCTTTATGCATACTACTGATAAATCTTATGAGTAGCACATGTCGCAATATTTCAATTAGTAAAATAATTAGATTAGTTTACTACATCTCAACTTGTTAACCAATGTCCTTCATCGTTGTATTTTAAAACCATTTCTCCTATTTTTTTCTTTTCAAGCTTTATTTCCACTTGATAAAATTTATTCACCAACGGGTTCCTCCTCAAGTAATCTTCCTACAGTAATTTTGTTTGGTGATTTGAGTCATTGGGAGTTTTATTCTTGGCATAAAGCTTTAAAGTCTTTATCCGATGATGGTTTGTGCATTTATGCATTCAGACATTATTTTCAGGTATGTATATTCGCTATTTATCACTTGTTGTTGTTATGATTAATTTAAGATGTTATTTTATTGTCAAGTTGAGTTATTATCTTGAAAAGTAATTTTGCTTATTTAGTTTCAATCACAGGTGACACTGTTGACCGTGAAAATTAACGGTGTAAAGAAGAAGTAAACGCTGGATACAAGTGGTTGGCTTGCACTTAACAGTGTACAAAGGTGATGGTGACTGACGGATTCAGTAGAGTTGTAGACAATTGATGCATTCACTCATCTTTCAGCCAATAAAACAGGAATTTGAATTCCAATTCACCTATCGAAGTCGGTGGTTCAGTGGTGCAACACTCACCAAACTCTCATGTGGTTCGGGACTCTATCCCTGAACGTCGCTAAGCCGGTAGTGAGCCCAGTAAAGAGAGAAGGCTGAGAGTGAAGCTAGCGATCCCACCCTGTAAACATAAAACCACTGCTACTGACAGTCCAATGCCCTAGCTTGAAGCTATGTGTCCCACTTTTGGAACTTAAAGAATAAAATTAAAAAAATTATAATATCAAAGTTTGAGAGATCAGGTTTCACTTATTCTCTCTGCACCGCCACATGAAAACACTAATTTTTTTCTGACTTGTAATTTTGATTTGCTTCGGTGGTACAGCGGTTAGGACACTCGCCGACGTGCACATGGTCCGGGGTTCGAACCTCGGCCGACTCACTCCTTTACCTCGGTAAGCCAGATTTAATGGCGGTAAAGAGGAAAAATTGGACATGAGGCTAGCAACCCTATCTTGTAAAAATAAACACTGCTACAGAAACTTCAAGCCACTAGCTTGAAGCCCTATTTTCCACTGGGAACGTGAACAAAAAATAAATAAAAATATAATTTTGATTTACAGTTTTAATGGACAATTTGAGTTTATTTAAATATAGGCATTTTTCGCACAATAGGAAACGAAGCGAAATAATACGGACATTAGTAGGAAAACAGAGGATGGACTAAGGTGATACCGGATAGTTCCTTTAAGTTTTTTCTCTATCTCTGCGTGATTCATGAAGTGTGACATTTTGATCTGCTGTGTTATCATCCAAAGTTCTATGTTAAAAACTCAGGCAATCAGTTAAAATAAATGAAGTTAAAATTCGGAGTATTTTGGTTAAATTCAGACTAAGAATAAGTATATTATTACCTCTGGAGGTTCGCGGATGGTAGAATAACTTCCAACTATGCACATGGTCAGAGACTGTTTTTTACCCCCGGCTGACGCACTCTTAAACCTCACTTAGGTAGTAGTAAGCCGGGTAAAGAGGGAAGGTTGAGAGTGCGACTGGCAACTCCACCCCATAAAAGAAAATAACATCACTGCTACTGAAACTCCAAAACTCTAGCTTGAAGCCCGATGTTCCACTTGAGAGGTAAAAAGACAAAATAAATAATAAAACTGGGAATTCAAATTAACACTAATATTATGCAGTATTAATATAAATAGGAGTATGACTCATCGCCTTGGGGTCTCGAGCTCCAATCATCGAATCACGAGGTCAAACTTTGTTTCACCTGCTGCTTAGGTTTTGGCAGGTAGGTGGTATCACAAACCTTCACACAGTAGGTTTGGCGCATTGCATGGAGACGCCAGGATTCCTGAGAGCATTTTTACTACTAATATAATTACTGAAATTGAGGAGTATTGGTTGAAATAACTTGAGTGCTACAAGTTATTTTAACCAATACTTCTCAATTTCAGTAATTATATTATTTTATTAAATGTCTTAAAAAGTTTCTGTTGTTTAATAAATCAAGTTGAGATGTACATTGTATCAAGTGGCATTCTAATCAAGCGGTTTTGTATTTATGTGAAAATTTAATTGTTTTGCAATCATATTTGACATAAGAATAATACAGTGTTGTAATTAAGAAGAATAATATCTTGAAATCGTCGAAAGTGTTAAGTCTAGTGGAGTATAGTAAACTGAACTGCTACACTTCTACACAAAGTTCTACTATTGTCAATCAAATAGTCAATCAGTTAATTCGAAGATAAAACTCTTAACGAATATTTAAAACATTGCTGAAGAATTCCTAATCTTCTTAAGCTAACTGGTTGTAATACTTTTGAATAAGGCATTTACAAGACAAATTTCTCGAGATGATATCGTCATTTCGTAGTTTCTTTACAACCGCTTTACAAATAACATGGTTAACAATAATAAAATAATGATCATAACAATTACTCAGTTAAATAAAAAACGAAAGTACATACTAATGACCAATCATACTTAAATAGGCCATGTATTCCATGGTAGGCGAAGGTTTTTTGTACACACAGTTTAGGCTGTATCTGATTAATCCAAAGGGCTTCCATCACCTTTAATAACCAACCTTGAATTAGTTATGTGAAATAACTGTGAAACAGTCATTAATATTGATTTTGTGACCTGACATTAATAAGTGTTTTGCAATGGATGATGCTGGATTTCTATTCAGATTAATTGCATTGGGATTTTCTATATGATTTAGTAGCCATTTTAGAACATGTTCTTTTCTACGACATTGGAACATTCTGTTGGTTCTACCTATGTAGGTGTGTGTCACTGCAACTGCAGGTGAGCTTGTAGATACAGTTTGAGGTAGAGTACACAGAATTTCGTCCTCTAATCGTAGGTACGGGGATCGAAAATGTTCGGCAAGTGAGAAAAAGATATGCAGCGTAGAATGTGCGTTTGATAGCTGACCGAAGTCTTTGAGCTGTCAACCGCATAATCTGGTCACCCTTGAATGGTAGGTTAATAAAGATAGCTTTCTTTGGTACAGAAGCTGTCTTTTCTAGATGTGGTCTTTCTTTACTGTGACAAGTGATAAAGTTCTCCGGATAACCATTAGATAAGAAAACTGAATGTATATGTCGAAAGTCACCCATCACTGTGTCACTGGTGCATATTTTTCGGGCCCTTGAGAACAAACATTTCACTAGGGGGGAACGTTTATACTGGATAGGAACAAAACTGGTAAAATGAAAATATTGTCCACTCCACGTCTGTTTACGAAAAATAGATCGTTGAATAGTTTCATCATCTCTCCTAGTCATTTTAATATCCAGGAAACCGAGTTCGTTATTCGATTCGATTTCGGAAGTCACTCGGATATTTGAATGAATATGATTAAATAGGGTAATAAAGTTTTCAATAGGTTTACTATTATTACCAATAATGAGAGTATCATCTACACGTCGTTTATACAGGATAAATTCTCCAAGCATACCTTACATTTGTTTTTCCAGTTTCGACATGAAAATATCTGCTAACAGGGTCCCAAGAAGGCTCCCCATCGCAACACCATCGATTTGTTTGTATGCCTTTTCTTGGAGGGTGAATCTAATATTTTCTGTACACATTAAGATGATGTCTTTGATATAGGTGACAGGAATAGGTTGTGATGTAGTCGCAAATGAAATCAACAGTTTCATGAAGAGGAACATTGGTGAATAAAGATTTTATTCTAGGGTGTGTAGCATATCTGTCAGATCAAATGAACTTTCTACTGAATGATTTGATAATGAGTCTCTTACATGCGTAAGGACAATATGATTGGTTGTAATGCATGTAAACTGTGTTTCCTTCTGGTAGTAACCGCTAAAAATGATTGAATAGTTTGCGACTTTGAAATTTTCAGCTTGTGAAAGATGAAGTGTATTGATTTAGTGTCCATTTACAAGCATGTGAATAGCTTTTGCATATAGTCCTAACTTCTAGACAGACAATTGACCTAAGTATAGTTTGTCTACCTGTTTTGTTCTCGAAATCATCTTTTAACAGGGAATAAGACTGTCGCGCATTATCTCAACATTATTCATCTGTCTGATGTGTAAGTGTTTTGCTTGTCAATTCCAAGCTGATATAGCGAAAAATGTTCACATTTAACAGTTTGAGAACAGTTAGGCATTGTGTATATGCTAGTCATTATAATAAAAGTTTTTTTGTATTTCTCAATGAACGAAAAACAACAAGACGATAATTTTTTTACTGACGTTTCGCTATTTAATGCTGCTAATAGCTTCATCAAAGTATTATTAAACCACAATTTAAAAAATCTCATCTTATATATAACAACTTAATCATCGTTCCTCAGCATGGAGGCATTTTTCGTTGTCTAATTGGCCAATTGGTAAAGATAATAAAGCCAAGTGTAGATTGGTGGATTTGATAAGTGTGTAGAAATATGTAAAAGCAGCGTGTGTTTACATAGTGAAAGTGCTTATAACATTCACGTTGATTTTGTCGTTTCATGGGGGAAGGGGGTGTTGTAACTAAGTCAATTTCTGTTTTATTCCACCATTCTTATTCAGACAACTTGGATCCCATTTGATATGAAGTGCTTCTGATGATATTAAACGTTCTTTGTGATTTCTGTAACTTTTATGGATTATTTCAGTTCTGTCAAAATCAGTTACGTGGCCTGATTTTATAGCGTAGTGTGTAGACGACCTATAGCTGATGATTTTTCAAGCTTTTCTATTTCACTAACTGGATTTCTCGGTGTTCGAACACAGTCGGGTTTACTGTGTTCATTCCTCCTGATTTTGATTTCTCCCCGGTGATGTTTGTGCGATGTATATCGCATCACATTCCAAGCATTTTATTTCATAGACACAATTAGATAGAACTATATTAGCATTAAATAGAGAAACGTCAGTAAAAGCAACGATATCGTTTTGTTTTTTCATTCATTGGGAAATACAAAAAAGCCTTTATTATAATAGCGAAAAATAGTTTATAGAGTTGATAATGGCGATTTTAGTTCCAGTGAGCTTGGGAGTGAGATACTTACGAGCCAAAATATTTTGATATTACCACTTAATGGTCAGGTGGGTGTATGTTAATAAAATTGACTAACAATTTCGCAAAGTAAATATACCACTGTAGTTCTGTTTTCGAACTGTTCTTTTGCTTAGTTCGTGTAGTGAGAACTAATGGATGAAAAGGAGAAATGATGAATAGAATTACGGTGAAATTATTTTCTTTACAGGCTTTGAATTATATATATATATATATATATGACTTAACAAGACTAGTTCGAGACTTCATGGACGATGAGTATTTCACTATCCGAAGTAGATTTCACCTTCTCATTCGACAGGAGTTAAAGAGCTGTTGAATATCAATAAGTATTAAGAAGCTGAAAGCTTGAGGATTGCACTCACTGATCCATTCTTGACTAGCTTGAGTTGATTTATTGAAAATTTAATGAAGACTCATGATCGGTGAGTAACGTTATCGAGAGTTTTAAATAGGTGCAGACGCTGCATTGCAGATCAAGTTGTAAATGATCTTTCACTAAATTCACAGTTTTTACTATTTGTTTTGTTCTCTTGCGTCCTGAGTGACAGTGGTGTTATTTTCTTTTACAGGATGGGGGATCGCTAGCCCCACTCTCAACTTTCCCTCTTTGCCGAGGTTATTTACCGACTAAGCAAAGTTTAGGAGTGCGTTGGCCGGGGAACGAACACCGGACCACATGTGTGTAGTAGTTGGCGAGCATTCTACCGCCGCACCATTGACGCACCACTGAATTCCGACCTTGGGGTGAAATGGTGGCGGCGTGCTTGTGTTAGAGTTTGACAGTCGTTAGTTCATACTGTTCATGATTCCAAAAATTAGTCTGGGGCATCTGTGTATTGAGCCTTGATATTGATTGGCAACCTTACTGATGATTGCTCATATCGAAGTCTATCCCTGAAGTCAGTAAAATTCTTAGGAGTCAAATACCTGAGTACTTAAATATTCATTTCAAATGGCTCATAGAGAAAATATAATTGTTCTTAAGATTATAGGCTGACTAATGAACAAAAAATATTCTTGTCAATAATCCCCTTTTTATCAGTTTCTCCATTCATACAACAGTATTAATTCAAGAACTATTGTTATTAACAAGAATAATGCTGTTTTAAATTACACTGAATCAGTGACAGTGACAGATTACTGTTCGAAAGCATCCGAAAGGGAGAAAGAGATAATATGCATCAGTATAACACTAAGCTGATTGAATATCAGATGAATCAAGGGAAGTATTACAGAATTTATGAATTTGTAGGTTAGATAGCAGGCCAGATTAGTAATAGTGACTGGCTGGACTGGCTTCTTTTGCACACAGAGCTCCTTTTGATTTAAATGAGTTGCAATGCCCTCTTCTTTCTAAAGTGTTTGATATCTAGAGGCCTTTGGTAATTTATTTGGTGCCTGGTAGATGATAGAGAAAGACTCTTGTTCAATACTGCTAGCTCTGTGGAGGTGATGCAATACAGAAATATTAGTGGTTTTGACAACAACTTTATTTAACCACACTGGTTGGTGTTCCAGAGCATGACAAATTGGATTCCTTCAGCGATGATCAATAATAATTGGCTTCCACAGGAGCAGTCGATAGATTGATAGAAACAATAAGTGTTGGCTAGCCTAGTTACTTCATCGTTCTGTTTGTGAATCACAACTGGGTGTTGTGTTGAAAATATAAGCTTCAGCTTACCTGTATTAAATGTTCTTTGTATCGATTTTCTCAACTTGTTGTTGTTAATTACAATATATTTCTTTAATTTATTACTGCCATATACTTGTAGAACCTGAGTAGAAAAAGAGTTTAGCGAAAAGAATATTCTCTGTTTATCAATCAGTCTCTTAGATTTTTAATAGACATCTTCAATGAATTGTAGGCTGAATTAAAGTTTGTACTCGTTTTTACATCAGATTCTAGTCAACGTGACAAACATTTGTGTGTTTAATTAGTCTAAATTTTATTATGATTTTATGGCACAGTGGTTAGGACTCTCGCCGACCATGCACATGGTCCGGGGTTCGAGCCCACGTCGACGCACACCTTGATGTCTATGGTCGGCCTGCGAAATTTGGGCTACCGATATCCATGCTGAAAATTCCATACTTGTACCAAAATACGGTGTGGAATCAAGCTGTAATCAAAAATAAAAATAAAGATAAAATATCGCACTTTCTTGGCTTTGGTTTATTTATTTTTATTTATTTATTTATTTGAAGAATCGAGATTCGAATAGAACAGGTTTAAATGGTTATGGTGTTGAACTTGCATTGAAAAGTACTGAATACAAAGCGATGGATGATACAAAAACTGAAGGTGAGTAGGATTTGATGGTTAGTAATTAGTATCATGTGTCTAGTCCCTTTTTTTCTTTCTGTGTAGAGTGAATTGTATCATGAATAACACCCTTTCAGGGGTTAATGAAAACGAAAAAAAGGTAGTTCAGAGAAGAGTCTCTTTTCGGCAGCAGCGAATTAATTTTCTTTCCTGGAAAATCGCAAATATATGAGTTATTTTGTATGGCTGTGTACATTAAGTTTGTCAAACAAAAATACAATTTCTCCCGAGTTGGTCACGGATTGATATCAATTAGAGAACCATTGAAAACCAAGGAGTACTGGACGGCTGTTTCATCCTAGCTTTTGGGGATCATCGGCAGTACGCACCCACTGCCAGGGTTCGAACCCAGGAGCCTCCGGTTACAAGGCAAACTCGTATATCATTTAGCCACTGGGTCCCGATCCAGTGACCAGCTCATGAATTCTAACTTCTACCAATTCGTGATTTAGCGCAACTCCAACCAATGTCATCCTGTAATGATGCCTTGTAACCGGAAGGTCCTGGGTTCGAACCCAAGTGGGCGGATAATGTCGATGATTCCCGAAAATCAGGATGAAACAGCTGTCCAGTACTTTCTGGTTTTCAGCGGTCCTCTAATTGATATCAATCTGTGATCAACTCGTAAAAAACAAAACTAACCCTTATAAAGCAACTATAGAAAAAAATACAATTTTCAAGTACTGGTTTTTGTGGGGATTTAGTTTGATTTGTTGGAGGATTTCATTATGAGCTGACATCAGTTACAGAACGATTGGAAAACCTGTTGTCAGCTAATGATTAAATTCTCTGACCTATCAAACTAAATCCCTACAATACCAATACTTGAACATTGATCCGATGCTCACTAGCGACTGGCCCTATTCAGGCAGTTGCCTGGGGTTCTAGTGGGAAGCCGTGACCAGTACGATGCAGCAGGTTAAAGGTGAGGCACCAACTCATCGAAGAAGACATTGTGAAGTGGTCGGGCTATATCATGAATTGGGAGAAATTACAATTCATGGGCTGACCATTGGATCAGGTACCAGTAACTTAATGGTCTACGAGCTCGTTAGCCTAGTAACTAGAAGGCCGTGGTTTCGAACCCTGGCGATGGGTGAGTGCTGCTGAAGAGTCCCAAACTAGAATGGAACAGCTTTCCAGTACTCCCAGATGGTTTTCCGGGGGTTCTCTAACTGATGTCAGGTCATGATGAAATCCCTCAACCAATCAAAAATACGATCGCTTATGGTTATTTTAACTAAACAAGTGAGAATTAGTAAGTTTTAGATGGAGAAAATTGGGTGTTAGTAAAACTAGGGTAGTAACAAAGGTGATGGGTTGTCACAAAAGGTTGATAAAAATGATCTACTTGATAATGTGAATAGTTTGATGGTTGAGTTGTACTCAGGATACACATATAGGAACAAAGTAGAGAATGCGAAATCACGTAAGAATTCTAAATGAATACAGGAATTATCAGCAATTAAAGAAACAGACAAACAAACAAACAAAATTAAGTCATCACAAATCAACAAAGTTATTACCATGATAACAGAAGTGGTTGAGTAATTCTCTTTTGTATTCACAGCTCCGGCTTTTCTATGTGAATTGCTAGAGCTTCAGCGATACAAAGAAGACGAAACCGTGTTGCTTTTGGTAGGTAATTCTTGACTCTGTAGATTACTTTTTGAAGCAGGAGGCGTTTGTTGAGGTGGAATGATCAGTGTTAACCATAACCAATTGTATCTTTGTCTGACAAACTTAATTTACATATGCATACAAAATAGCACATATATATTTGCTATTGTACAGTTTAGAAAGTGAATTCGTCGAAAAGAGACTCTTCGATGAATTACGTATTTTGTTTTCATGAATTGTATCAGTCTAGTTTGCAATATGGCCAGCATGCATACTAAGTGACTTAACGTCATGTTGCACTCTGAGTTGTTGTTATCAGATGATATCTGGTGACAGTCAACAGGAATCCTTGGGCCCTAGGTTTCGTGCTTGTTGGCACTCACCAGTCAGTCAGCGAGATATACCTGAAATCTTGTAGGGACTAAGGTCCCTCTTGGGATTCGAACCCGTGCCACTCAGTGCGCTGTAGTCACAGACTTTATCACTGAGCTATTGGGGTAGTGATTCACCTGCTGTAAGACTGTAACAGATGGTTTGTTTGGACGCTAGTTAGGAACTAGTATCATGCGTCTATTCCTTTGTTTGGTGGAGACTGAATTTTATCAGTCAATTTTTATGATGTTTTATATAAACTTGGTTAATTGAACACACGTGGTGTTAATTGTTTGTGTTTCACAGTCAGTTTGGACATTAGTGTGTTGTGGAAAATTGTTATTATTAAATTATAAACTTGTTACATTTTTGGGCACTTAAAGATGCACCATAAAAATATGATAGTTTGTGCGAGCATTGGATTAGTACCCAGTCTCTGAGATCGATGCAGGTAGTTATTTTAAGGAGCCAATCCTAAACCTTTGAATTGAAATCTGATCAACAAGACAGTGGAGTAGTGTCAGAGGCTAAGTTCCCATGGTTGCCAGTGATCAAAACAGATTCATACGCCATTTGATCAGTTCGGATTCAGAAGGCCATTTACATTAGGGTAGACCAGCATGTTCGCCAGTCCAGTTGTAAGCGCCAGAAGTACACATTCACTCTTTTACTTTTGTAAGGAACATTTCAGCCTCGTGAAGGCCAATGAATAGAACTTACCGAGCCATATAAAAAAATTTTGAGAGAGAGATGGAGGTTTATTCACCGTTCATTGTACCAGGTCGTGTGTGTGTGTGGGGGGGGGGGAGGGTATTGTAGAAAATACATACGCACTATTGTCACTGATTTAGATTTATGCATTTTTGTGAAGTCCGGTAGTTCAACGGTAGAGTGCTGGCTAACCAAGTACGTGGTCCGGGGTTCGAGTCCCGGCCGGCGCACTCCTTTACCTTCCTTAGTCGGTTATAATCCCGAGGAAGAGGGGAAGTTAGGCGTGAGGCTAGCAGTCCTATCCAGTAAAAAAACACCAATGCTACTGAAGCTTCAACTCTGTAGCTTGAAGCTTTATGTTCCACTGGGAACTCAAAGGAAAAAAATTAAAAAGAAAAAAAGTTCTTCAACCATAAATTTCTTAAGTCAGGTATTGTATACTCATGGGTATAACTCAGTACCTATAGTCGGAGGGGCTCCTTAGATTGATGTTCAACTTTTGGTTTGCTCATCTTCATCTGTTTTTTCAGTCTATTCTTGCTTGAGCTAGCTAGCTAACTAGATATCTCACTGTGGAACGTTTAAAATTTGACATGAACACGTTTTACACAGGATAAAATTAAGTTGGAGATATATGTTGGCTGTTTAAAGAAGATTAAGAAGATTACTGTTTCATTAATTAGTGGTTAAGGAAGAGAAGATTACACCGAAATTTTCAATATGAAATGCTAATGTACTTGTTTTTGCATTGGATAGATCTGATGAGAATTGATAATCACACTAATCGACTAATTTTAATTAACTAGTGTTCAGGAAATATTGGTGAAACGACCTCCAGTCAACATTTAACTATGCTGTTTGGTCAGTGAATATCAGAATGGATAAATCCATTCGAAAACAAAGTGTTAGTATTTCTATGCTATTATGAACTCAATCAATCACCTAGTTACAGGTTAATGAAAATATATGCTCAAATAGACTTAGCATATAGTTCAAACATATAAATCAGTATAGGTTTAATAACGAGTTGGCATCATTTAGAGAACCATTGGAAACCACGGGGAGTACTTAACAGCTGTTTCGTCCTGGCCTGGGACTTTTCATCAATTTACACCCAATCGGGTTCGAGTCTAGGGCATAACAAGGCGAGCTCGTAGACCATGCAGCCTCTAGGACCCAATCCAGTGCCCATGGGTACGTACTGGTAAGGAGTCCCGAACTAGGACGAAACAGATGTTCAGTACTCCCAGGGCTTCCAGTGGTTCTCTAACTGGTGTCAACTTGTGATCAATGCTGTAACTAATCAAATCCCTGTAAAGCAACACTAGATATAAATGAATGTCGTGTGTTACAGTTAAACTAACAGTTACTGACGTGTTAGTTTCTAATTGTTATTGTTTTATATATTGTTATATTTAGTTGTTAAGAAACTTCACAGATGTTATATGTACTGTAGATAAATGTAGGTCACTTCAGTTCATGTATAAAATTGTGTTGTTGCTGATCTTATCGGTATAATAGTGTGAGTAATCTTGAGGTTAGGTGCTCAATATTAGTTAAGGAGGGAAAGTCAATCGATGGCGTTGTGAAGCTACATCGATCAATATGGCTAGAGCATGTGTTACGTACGCCTAGCAATAGATGGCCTTCCTTGACGATCAATGTTAGGTGACGTAGGTTGAGGTTGTTAAAAAGTCGGTGGTAGTGAAAGCAAGATTTGTCATCAGTCAATGAAATCCACAAGTTAGTTTAAGCCAGCCACGTAGGGAGGTGTAGACTGCTAGGTTGGTTGGGGTCCTTGGAATGGTAAAAACTAATGGTTGGAGATAATGGCTGAGATGCATTCATTCTTTGTGATCTCCTATATCTATTAAACCAGGCTGTTTTTCTATGTCACTATTCTCTCTCTTCCTCTCGCTCACACATTTCTGCTTCTTAACTTTCCTTTCAATATCTTTTTTCCCCTCCCTTTTTGTCTTACTCTGTGTGGTACATAGAGTGTGGCAATTTGAACTGTTCCATTCTTATGGAGAGTTCCATGTTCAAACCAGTCAGTCATTCAGTCTTGTCGATAAGTTTCAGGGTCTGTTCCCCCACCCCTCCCACCAATTTTTACTTGTTTAAGCATGTTATATAACTTTATTGAATTTTAGATTTTCTCGTTGATTGATTGTATCGAAGTGCTCGGTCTCAGGTTGACATATCGACTGCTTGTGCAGATGCTTCGACAATGTCTGGGCGTTTAATTAGAATTTAATATGTGGATGGTGATTAGCAGTGGAATCCAGGATGTGCATTTCGACATGCCAACTTGAGACCCAGCATTTCGGTCCAATCAATCGACGGGAAAATCTAAAATTCAATTAAATAATTAACATGACCCGTTGCACAAGAGGTGGCTCTTGTCGCCCAAGCGGTCTAGTGGATAACTCTTTGGCGTTTGAAAGTATGGGCACTGGGTTCGAGCCTCGGTGGGAACGTCATCACTCACTGGGAAATGCAGGTACATCCAGTAGCTGACGAGTCCCAAATAGGACGAAATGCGCTTTACCCTGAATTCCACTGCTAGTCACCATCCACAAATTAAATGTTATATAACTCATGTGTGTAACAATTTCTTCATCCCTTTGGTATCATCTATCCTATCCTTTATCTCTTTTCAGGGCCGGATAATCTAACAGTGAAAGAAAACAATAAAATTGCTGATATACCAGTTGTAGCAGGATTTAATTTTACACAATTACAAAATATTTATCCTGAATTAAAACATCAACTCAATGAATTTCATAGTCATTTACTCTCAACAGATAATGAATTACGTCCGCTGAAAGCATGGCAATGTCGTGATTTAAGTTTACAGGCTAGTCAAGTTGTAATGAATGCATATACGTCAGGTGAAAAACTCGAAGGTTTCATTGGATCGTACATAAATTCAGGTTTATGGAATTTACGTGATATTAGTCAGAATTTACCAGCAAGAGCAAGGTAATTAAAAGACTTTTAATTAATTAATTAATTAATTTTTTGTTGTTGAAAAAAAATGGCCTAATCTTTTATACGGGTGGATAAATAACTAACACTTGATTAGTTGCTTAATAAATATGGGTTGTATTATATTTCTCATGTTATAAATAAGACTGTCAGAAAGAGTGTTTTAAGTATTTCATTTATAGTAGGATTATAATTATTGTGAAAAATGACTTCGTTTTGTCCAATTATCATTATTACTATTATTATTGTCCAATTAAATATGCTGACGACCTGACTGTATCTTTGCGTGTCAAATGTCAAAGTGATTGTTTCAAACTAAATGGCTTTTTATCAGAAATCAGGCAGTGGTCCAAGGAAAACGATCTAACCTTAAATCCCTTTAAATGCCAAACAGTCGATTTCACCTTGAGGCATAAATCTGACCTTAACAAACTAGTTAGCACTCACGAGGTGTGCAACATAAATGGCACTGAAATAGAAACCAAATCGGAAATTAAATATCTGGGTGTCATTCTATCTGCTGATCTTTCCTGATCGTCTCATATGTTGGTGATTTCTAAGAAAACATTCCGTCTTACCTTATGATTGAAGAAGTTAAGACATTCTGGAATAACCCAACCCTTACTCCTACGGTTCGTTAACTCTCTCATTCTGCCTATTATTCTCTATTGTTCCCCCTTAGTTTTCCAGGGTCACTGAAGAAAGGCTATACTTTGTTACGCAGGATGTTAAAGGTTGTCAGCAGGGTAAGCAACGTGCCACTTAACTAGCTTGTTAATATCCTGGTCGACAGACACTTGAACTCATGTGAAAAATGGGCTAAATCCATTCTATCTAACTCACACCACCCTCTTCATTCACAACTCTCCCCTTGTATCTCATCAGGCAAGCAGACCAGAAGCCTATATAGAAAACTATATGCTCTCACTAGCAAGTACAAAAACTCAACCATACCCTACATATCTGGTGTTCTGTGCGATAAAGAAAGCATTAGGCGTGATACCTATAACTTATTAAATAGTCAGTAGAACAACTGGATCTCGTCTTTCCAAATCATTTCATATCATTTACAGGTACAACGTTTTCTTTCTTTCTTTTCTTTTTCTCTCTCTCTTCTTTTCTATTATGTGCTGCTTTGTTTCTTTCTTCTTTACTAACGCTATTTAAAACATTCTTCTTCGTTCTTTCACACTCTGTATATCTCGACCTTTTTGTTACCGCTTACGCCAGTAAATATGCTAGTGTATCTACTTTTCTAACATCTTCAAACATTTTGTTCATTTTGGCTTTGCCAATATGTTGTTGTCATAATGGACTGATATTTTCTTAATCTATGTAGAATTTTTTTTATTTATTGTTAATGTACTAACTCGATGCAATACTGTAGTAAAATGCTGAGAATTCCATTCTGTATCACAAGTACTGTTTTGGAATAAAGCAAATTATTATTATTACTATTAAAAATGTAGTAGTAACAGAAATAAGCAAGCAGAATGGATAAGAAAGGTAATAGGATAATTACTGTTGACAGAAATGACTGTTTATGATAATCATGGTAGAGACACAGGTTGGACATATTTCTTTTGAATACCTAGAGTGTGGGTGTTGAACTTTTGGATCACTAGTGCCTCATCTATGGCCAGATGCTTTGGTTTCACTTTCTTTGAAAGGTTTGATCAGGTCTTGTGTAGGACTTTGAAGGACTTTTTCAAATGGAGTTGGATGTCTTGAGTTCACCAGATGTTCTGTTACCGAACTATATACACATCCTTGCGTTCTCCCTTTACTAGCCAGGTTGGATAGTCTTCCTCAGAGGGTTTTACGAGTGGATGCATGGTATGGCCAATGTACTCAGCTCCACAGGGGCAGGTGAACTGCTATATGCATGTTGAGTTGGACCAGTGTTACAGTTTGTCTTTCATATGGTGATTGAATAGTTTGCTGCAAGAAATTGTTACTCGTAGGCTGGCGGCAAAGTTTTTCTACGGAGAGGCTCTGCTTCGGTGTCACTTTTAAATTTGAAATTAATCACCAGCATCTTTTAAGATTGAGGCGACTTGGATCTGTTCAGAGGTTTTCTTTGGGTTTATATTCTCGTCTATGAATGTGGGTGGGAAACTATTTTTTATTTATCAGGTTTCCTCGGAGATTTAGCATTTCTTCGTCAATGGATTCCTCAGGACATATTTTGCAAATCCTCGAGGAAAGAGAATATATGAAGTTTCTCTTTTTGTTTAGAGAAACACAACTCTGAAGGTAGATAAACTGCCCATTCCATGTGGACTTTTTGTATGTGGGTCTCCTCAACTTGTTATCATCATTCCTTTGCAGCTGAACATCGAGCAAATGAAATAATCAGTCAGTTTCAACTTCTAGAGTGAAGTCGATGTTTGGGTGCACATTATATTGAAGGTTTGGAGTAGGTTTTCAGGATCCAAATTCTTGTCCCACTTACTTTCGTATCCGAACATCCTGTTATTTTTACGTTTTTTAAGTTCCTATCTCCTGAGAATTATAAGTACTGTTTTTGGAATAAAGTAAAAAACAAAGATGTGGTGAGTCGTAGTGTTATGGAAGTCTCCAAGACGAAAGACTTGGTTAAGGAACGTTTATTTGGGAATTGGTATCTCTATATTAACAAATTATGTATACCTTATCTTCAACGCACAGATCTTCCGTGTTGTGGTACTTCTGAACTTCATGATGTGTTTCTGTGTTTTCTTATCACGTCGTCTCCCATGTATCTCCACAAAGCTGTGTCATTTGCCTTCTCTGAAACCAAATGTATCTCCATGCTATTTGGTGTGTTTTATGCCGATGAACGTTTTTTATATACTACTGATAAATCGTATCAGTAGCACTCGCCACAGTGTGACTGAGACATGTTTACTCCTATACAAAAGTGTAGAGTTGTATCTGCTTGACTTAGGTGCTCGACTTTTAGTTAGTTAGTACCTGGTTACTTTGAAAAGATTTTCCATGCACCAGGCTGTGAACAACATCTACAGTATGTGGGCTGATGCTACTCCCCAGTTGCCCATTCTGAATTAACTGGAACGCTACTCGAATCCGGAATCCACTAGCTAAAAGCCGCGTCGTCAGATAGATAGGGTCGTTAGTCTCCACATAAAGTGGGTCTAACTTATTATAGAGCGGGCAAAGCTGTAGACTGCTGCCTACCCCTCACCCCATAATCAAGGCGATACCATTTAGGACCAACAAAATTTGAAGGCATTATTGAAGTATTACCTTATTCTCTAGATTAGAATTGTTGTGCCTACAATATATTTTTATGTCGATGATTTGTTGTGAAAGAAACATTGAGACTTTGGATAAGATGTAATTTGTCTGAGCACATGTTATATACTTCGTTAGTGATGTACTAATTCACCTGTATACAATATGCAATCGGAAGTGAATAGCAGATGTGTAGATGTTCAACTTCCCTATTGTAGGTTTTAAAATCAGGATGAAGATAAAAGCTTATTTAACTTTATCATTAAAATGACTAAATTCCTATCAGTTACAACTTATATATATATATATATATATATATATATATAGTCCTACTTTGTTGGCTTTCTTTCCTCCCATCTTTTCTTTCTTTCTTTATAGTCGTCTTGTGAATGTAATGTTAGTGGAGATCTTCGTAAAGAATTAACTCAAAATCAATATCTTTTAACTGGTACACTAGGTATACAACCTGGTCAAAGTCTACTCCTCTTAAATGGTATTCTACTTTCACCATCTGTTGATATATTTGCTGTATTGGATGTAATACGTCAAGAAGCGAAGATGATGGCACAACTGCATGCTTTAGGTATACCAGTAAGTATTAAATATTTAGTAATATACTTTATAATTTGCTTCTTATGTATAATAACCTAATGGCATAGATTCTTTATTCACTAACGTAATCAAACAAACCCCACCGTTGTTATTTAGTTCCTGTGGATTGTTGTTTGCATTATGACTGAAACCGACTCCTTGTGATATGAGCGCGGGAAACAAGTCTCTATGTCCTACTGTATAGCTGAAAAAAACCTTCTTGGAACACGCATATCGTCATAGGACGCCCTAAAGACAGTAAAACTAACGTGTGACTCTGTTCAACAACAACAACAACAACAATAACATCAAAGACTCAAAATTACCTCAGCAGTGCTGTTTGGCAGCTGTAAAGACAGGTAAGTTTCTAAGCGCAAGACAAGTAAGTACTGTAGAACAAAATTAGTTAGCCATTATTCAACTCTATGAAGTATCTTAGAATCAAGTAGAATATTTCCAATAAGGTAGGATAAAAATCTCTATCGACAAGAATCGCACACCAATGTTTCCCGAAAACAGTCCAATGGTCAGAATCACCTTGGTTCACTCAGATAGAGTCACAACATCTCAAACAACACATTATTGCACAACGATAAAGCGAAGCATTGAAATTATAGATTAAACAGGGACAAAGACAAATGATGATAAGGATCAAGTCAACGTATGCTATGCAAATGTCAGGAGAATGATACACAGTCTAGGAGAAAAAGGGATAATAATTACCAAACACAAAATAATTGAGCAAAGAATATCTTTTTTGATAAATTCCTCTTCTGGCTCTGCAATTATATACATATGTTTATACACATAGAATATTCTAGAATAGTAGTCAATAACAATATTAGTGTTTTTTAAATAACATCGATTTGTAAAGTAAGGCCAATGTAATTACAGTTCATTAAAGACGCTTAAATTATAATAATTATAAAGATATAGTAGCAAATAGAATATCAGCTAAAATTAAGGAAATTTCCTCAACAAATTGAGTATCATTAGAAACTCGATGGCCGGAGTAGGGAAAATGTCTGAACCAGCTTCTTTCGGACACATAAATTAGGCTTCTCAATGTGAATCCCAACGGCCTCAGCAATATGCAGTAGACGAACTCTTAAGGGGAAGTTAAGATTTATTGGTATGCGGTAAATGACTTTGAAAGCCTCCTCGTTGACATCAGTCTTGTGTTCTGTATCCACGAAATGAGATAGAATAGAGATATAAATAGAATTTGTTCGTCTTTTACTTAACTACTATGCAGGGGGATGCTCGGAAATGCGACGATAAACACGTCTGTTTGTAAGGCCTGTGTAACTGGCTCCACAGGAGCAATCGAACCATCCAAATAAGTATAAATATTGTAACCAGATCGTTCAGGAAGGATTTGCCAAACAATCTCTCCATTGCAGTCACTTCACCTTAATATCATTCCAGGTTACTGGTTTGTATAACAGGAATGTCATACATGCTGATAGTTGAAAGTATTCTCTATCGATTCTTGTGTAAGACAGATAAAAAATGTTCGCATTGAAATAATCAGTAAACAGAAATGGTGAATGGCCTTCATTCCTTAATCTGAGGAAACAATTGCAGGGATTATGCGATGTAGGCTGTTTTGAAAGATTACTCTGTATATGTTGGTTAGCTAGCATACATAATAGTGGGAGAATATTCAGCTAAGCGAATTCTTACGTATTCGGAGACTATATATATATATATATATATATATATATATATATATATATGCACAGGACTCATTATAATATTCTAAGTAGCCTTTGACAAGACAGTATTCTAATCTTGACTTATGGGCTAGCTTGGATATTTGATTTTGTAAAATTTACCATGTAAGAATCGAATTTTTGTGGTCATCGTTTTTTCGCTTCCCATACATTGGGCACTTTTGCCACTCTGCAAAAATCATTTATATTTAATTTAATTTTAATTTTGATTTACAGCTTGATTCCACACTGTATTTTTGGTACAAGTATGGAATTTTCAGCATGGATATCGGTAGCCCAAATTTTGCAGGCCGACCATAGATATCAGGTGTGCGTCGGCGTGGGCTCGAACCCCGGACCATGTGCATGGTGGGCGAGAGTCCTAACCACTGTGCTACCGACGCACAGTGCTTCTCACTTCCTGCTTAAAACGTTTGTTCCGTAGACATTACAAATATGTATAAACTGCTAGGGCTGTGTTCACAATGCTCGATTAGCGTATATTTCTCTCATTCAGTTGTTTCTTCTGTTATATTGGTTGGAGGGTTTCATTATGAGCTGACATCAGTTAGAGAACCATTGGAAAATCACCTGGGAAAGCTGGACAGCTGTTTCCTCCGTCCTAATTTGGCATTCTTTAACGATACGCACCCTAATGCTCACTGGTGACTGGCCCTATTCGCGTAGGTAGTTACCTGGGGTTCTAGTGGGAAGTCGTGACCAGTAGGGTACAGCAGGTTGAAGGTGAGGCAGTAACTCATCGAAGAAGAAACTGTGAAGTGGTCACGCTACGTCATGAACGGGCAGAAATTAGGATTCATGGGCTAACCATTGGATCTGTCTGTCTGTCTGTCTGTTTTCGACATAGAACTTTGCACAAATGGACCATTGGATCAGGTGCCAGTGGTCTACGAGCTTGTTAGCCTTGTAACCAGAAGGTCCTGGATTTGAATCCCGTATTGTGGGGATGCGCAGTGATAAAGAGTGCCAAACTAGGCTGACGAAACAGCTGTACATTACTCTCAGGTGGTTTTCGAATGGTTCTCTAACTGATGTCAACTCATGATGAAACCCTCCAACCAGTTGATGTTTTCTCTGAGGATTCCAGACGAAAAGAAAATATCATGCGATATAAATGCCGCTGAAAATTCTTTACATAATATAAAAACACTGTTCAGAATAAAGCTATTAATTATCACTAAAATGATTACTCAAAATGAAAAAACAACACTACCAATGATGTTCAGATTTAGTTAGCGTGTAGTCATCTTTCATTTCAGAAAAAGACAAATATGTTCATCAATTATCAGTTCTGATTATACCACTAATCTGGTTTTCTTTTCAATTTAGTCATAATCGAAACATGTTTTCTTTATTCCCATTAATAATAGCAGCTAAATATTATTGCACTTACAGTTGTTTCAATTGTCGAGACTTTAATTCCCTGTTATATAGTGGGCAACTTGTTGATAAGATGCATATCTCTGCCCAATTCACTTTGACTTGTTTTTTAAAAATTTAATTTAATTTTTAATTTGCCCACACAGGGATCAAATATCTCACAATTAATAATTGGCTATGGTTCTTCGAGTGAATCTTCGTCGAAATCTATGGATGGAAATATACCAGGTTTAAGACATAGTCTTTCCGGTCAATTTGTTCTGGATTTATCTAATTCACCAATTTCGTATATTAATAATTTAGAATCTGATTCAGCTTATGCCCATTGGTCGGCATCCCTTCATACATTATTCACGCTTGATTTTTCTGGTGGTATACGACGGATACGTAAAAATTTATACAATGTCATTTTAGTCATTGATCCTGCTTCATCTGAAAGTCGTGAAATGTTAAGACTGACAGAATCATTTCTTTTGCATATGACTGCAATACGGTTAGTTGATGATATTCGTGTTGTTGTTGTTATTGCTTGTTTTCCAATTTATTTTTCCAGTCACAGCTGCTTAGTTACCGGAAACAGGTTTTTTCATGCGTCAAGCCATGAGGCATGTTTAATGTCTGATTGCCCAGAATGAAGTAGATGGTTGTAGATTCGAACCCTCCAGGACCTGTTGTTAGCTTAGCTGAACGTTGAATTCTGAGGACAGTGGACTACATCTTTTTATGCATTATGTGTGCATCGGTGATTTCGTGATAGAATGTTCACCAACTAAGCACGTGATCCTGGATGGATTCCCGACTAACTCATTCCTGAACCTCGCGTGTACAGTATTTATGTTCGGTAGACGGAGAGGGCGGTAACCCCACCCCGTCAAAATAAAACCACCTTTAATGAAACTTCAAAGTCATGTGTTCCACACTCGAGACGCTAAGAGAATTGAAATAATTATTCAAAAGAATGGTTACTAAACAAAGAATATTCTTTTCGATAACTTCCCCTTCATCAGGTTCTACAGTTATATATACATTATAGTGAATGAATGAATTAGTGTTATGAACATCGAATCAATAATAAAAATATCAGTGGATGACAGCTCGATGGCATCAACATAAAAATAAACTGAACGTCAAACAAATTAGGAAAGATAATATAACAGATTCATGAATTTATCGTCTCTACTGAAGGCCAGGGCAAAAGAAGTGACTGGACTTGCTTCTTTTGTACACAAAGAACTGGTTGTTTCACGCCAATTGCAATAACCTTTGGTGTTTGGAGCATGCGGTGCTTCGATGTTTTTGGCAATTTGTTTGGCACCTGGTAGATGGTGGAGAAGGATTCTTCAACGCTGGCTGGCTTTGTGACTGGTTTCAACCAGATGGTCTACCCACTGACTATTTGAAGGAACTCCTATTAAGATGTACTCTAAACGTCCAATTCACTTTCAATAATGAAATATATGGACAAAAAGATGGTATAGCTATGGGCTCACCACTCGGCCCGCTGCTTGCAGATATTTTCATGTCAAAACTAGAAAATACACACCTAAAGAAGATAATAGATAACTTCGGATTCTACAAGAGATACGTGGACGATACTTTTATTATCGCCAATAATGAGGAAAATTTGGAGAACATATTGGACTTCTTCAACAGTTGCCATCCAGCAATCCAGTTCACACTAGAGAAGGAGTCCAACGCAACAATATCTTTTCTGGACGTGCAACTAGCAAGACGCGAACAAGATGGGACACTCAAAAGATCCATTCACAGAAAACCGACATGGAATGGACAACTCATCAGCTTTCACAGTTGGGTGCCTATATATACAAAACGAAATCTGATCCGCTCACTGACTCACAGAATCCACAACATTTGCAGTCCGGAAACTATAGAAGAAGAGCTGAAGACCCTGAAAAGAATCCTCCTTGAAAACGGTTACCCGGAACGTTTCATCACAAAAGCTATGAAGCCCAAAACACAAAAACCATCCATGCTTACTGCTCCCAAGAAACTTCTCTATTTGAATCTACAATTCAACGGAGATTCTTCAGCAGAAATACTGAGAAACCGCCTGTGCCGTTCACTGAAGAAAACCTTCTTCGCAGCGGAACTCAGACTAACTTTCTCTACGAAACCAATGATTCGCACGAACGTGAAGGATAAGCTTCCACTGGGGGCCTCATCAATGTGCATCTACCAATTCACCTGCTCATGTGGAGCTAGGTATGTCGGCCGTACCCAGCGTTTGCTATCCAAACGAATCAGCGAACACTTACCTTCATGGTTTTATAAAGGAGAAAGAAGATCCCCCCGCCACAGCTCTATCCTAGAACACTTGATCGAATCCGGACACCAAGCAAACCCACAAAACAACTTCTCAGTTATCTACACAATACGTGAGAATCTTGCCAAAAGAGTACGAATTAAACTTCTTCAAACTGCAGAAGCAATGGCAATTCACATATTGAATCCTGAACTCTGCATACAAAAGAAGTTTGTTCAGTCACTAAATCTACAATGGTCCTGATCTATCTTAACACCAAATACGTAATTTTGTCTTACCTCTTTCTTCTTTGTTTGTCTATTTCTTAATTGCATTATTTTCTACCCCCACCCTCTATTAAATCTCTACGCTCATGACGACTGTTGCTAACTCGATTTTCGTTTATTTTTAAGTGAATTCTACTCAGATTATTAACTTGACTCTCATTCATTTTTTCATTGAACCCTATCAATTAGATTACGTCACCCAACCTACTTTTGTAACTTTATTTTAGTTTCTAACCGATTAACGCCTTCTAAATTACGTAATTTGTTTGTCAAAAATTAACAATTGCATTAACACATCTTTGGAAATATTCCTTTTGTTGCCAAGACAAATTACTATAAATTTGCGATTTGTACAGCTTGAGAATGATATCGCCGAAAAGAGTAACTCTTTGCTGAACACCTTTTCTTTTCTATGACTGAATGGGAATCTTCAAGTCACTAATATCGAACTGTTGATGGTTTGTACTACACCTTTATTTAGCCACACTGGTAGATGTTTCCAAGCGAACACAAAAAATCAGTTTCCTAAAGTAACGGTCGATATAACTCACTCTACAAGCGGCGTTGACTTGGTAGATACGATTAGAAGTGGCTAGTCTAGGAAATTCATCTTTCAACTGGGGAATCACTGCCGGTCGTGTTATTAATCATACTAATTCATTCACTTTTTTATTCCTTTACGTTCCCAGTGGAACATATGGCTTTAAGCTAGAGGCTCGGAATTTCTGTACCAGTGGTGTTCATTTTTTCACAGGATGCGGTTGCTAGCCTCATGCTCAACGTTTCCTCTTTATCATTCTTATTACCGGCTTAGCGAGATAAAGGTGTACGTCGGCAGCGAGACGAACCCTGGAGAACATGCATGGTTGGTGGGCATTCTACCGCTGCGCCACCGACACACACCATTACATATATATATATATATATATATATATATATATATATATATATATATATATATAGCTATAGGACCTGATGATCAAGTTATCGAAAAGAATATTCTTTATTCAGTAACTATTGTTTTGAAAAGTTGCTTACATTATCAGATTTTGTGAAAAAAAACTTTTTTTCTAGTATTGGTTTCTGTAGGGATTTTGTTTCATTGGTTGGAGGATTTCATCATGAGCTGACATCACTTAGAGAACCATTGGAAAACCAACAAACAGTACTGGGCAGTTGTCTCGTCAGCCTAGTTCGGGACTCTTAATCAGTACGCACCCACAATGTGGGGATCGAACCCACGACCTTCTGGTTACAAGTTGAGCTGGCTCGTAGACCATTAGTCCACTAGAACCCGATCCAATGGTCAGCCCATGAATTCTAACTTCCGCCAATTCACGACGTGGCGGGATTGCTTCACAACGTCTTATTGGATGAGTTAATGCCTCATCTCCAACCTGCTGCATCTTATTGGTCATGGTTTTCTAGTGGTTCTCTAACTGATGTCAGTTCATGATGTAATCCTGCAACCAAAAACACCTTTTTTCTGAATGCTTTATTTAGTTATAGAATAATTAATGTAATTGACTTTCGAATCAGTGTTAGTATATATTAGTACAATATACATGTTTATTCCTTTTGTACATTTTATTGAATCACGTCAGTTGGATTGTTTTTACATCTGAAAGTGTATATTTGCCGTTGGATTATATTATAAATTATTTTTTGATATCTTGATATGAATACAATTTGAAGTGATTACACTTCCATATTTTTGAATTGAAATATTGTTATTTTTAATATTGATTAAAATACTAATGAAATAAATTAAGGATTAGGGAGTCAAATAAATCAATACAATGGTTTTTGACGTAAACTCATTTTGTGCTTCAATGATTAGGGGTCACTCGTTGTATCATTTATAGTAAGACTAATAAATATATATGTGTTCTGTTAGAGAAGATATCCTAACGTTCATTGATTATCGAATTGATCAAGTTTGCTTCCTGAACATTCTATCTTTTAAATACTCAGATTATATCACCTTATTATTCGATAACAAATAAGCTACTCAAATCATATGTAATCAATCAACAACCAATATCTGTGTGTGTTGTGTGCTTATTCCGCAGCACCCAAATCTAAAATCCTCTTGAAAACTAGCTGCAGTTAAAATAGTTTGGGATTTCGTGTGTGTGTGTGTGACTGTTGTTTATTCAAGTATCGTTGGAAGCCTACATCAGGACCAACCGGTTTGAACTACCACTGACGCCTTTGTGTGATATCAATCAAAGTTGGGGTATACAACAAACATCTGAGTGCATCAATTTCAGTTCTACCTCTGTGAAACCTAGTCTTTCTGAGTTGAAGATATTTAACGGCTTTGTGGTTTTGACTATCATTATCCCAGTCATATGCCAATAATTGTAAAGTTTGTCAAGGAGAATTTGAGTAAACAAATTGTGAACCATCATTCATGAAGTTATTCCGTCCTTGAAGAGTGACTTTTATGACTTAGATTCGATTTATTGATGTTACACTCTTCCTTATTCGCTAGTCCTAGAAGTGTGTAAAAAACGAGTATTGCTCTGTAGTACTAGGGATAATTTAGCGAACATCTACCAGTGCATCTCAATTCATTGAATGGGTTCAGCTCTGTAACTTGATGCTTTGCCAAATTTCTTAAACATTTAAACTGGTGTCTATCATGCTGTAATTTCCTTCCTTCCCTTACTGTTGAAGAATGACATTAATGAGACTATCCTTGAATATTTAACTTATTAGGTCAATTATTTGAGATCAGTTCAGCTTGATCACTTTTCAGCTTTTCTTCTGTTCATAAATAATTGTTGTCATTTTGTGTTGCATATCTCTTAGTATTTATGTTTTACTTAGTTGGTTTTCATAACTAATAAGTCCTTTTAATTTCAAGTTTGATCATGGATTGATATTCCTAAGGGAATCATTGAAAACTAAGGAGCACTGGATGGCTGCTTCGTCCTCCTAGTTTGGGACTCGTCGGCAGTACTCAACCATCATGTTTCAAACCCCAGGACCGGGACCTTCCGGTTACGAGGCAAGCTCGTAGACCACTCAACCATTAGGACCGGATCCAATAACCCATGAATTCTAAATTCTTGCGATTCGTGATTTTAACACGACCATCAACTAATGTCATCAGTGAGTATTTTTCCTCACTCTCTTCCGGTGGACCCCAGGGGTCACTTGTATTCAGTCACTAGCGAGTCGATCCTACGGGTTAAATGATCTACGAGATTATCTTGTAACCGGAAGGTACTAGGTTTGAATCCTGGTGGGTGTGTATTGTCGGTGAGTCCGAAACTGGGAAAAAACAGCTAGTTGTCCAGTACTCCTTAGTTTTGAATGGTTCTCTAATTGTCTGTCTGTCTGTCTGTTTTCGACATAGAACTTTGCACATATGTGCGGCAGTTCGAGTCGCCACACTCCATGTAGCACACAAACCAAGAGATGAAAGTGGAAGAAATGCATAAGAGACAGTAAACAGAGGTGTGATAAAAAGGAATAGTAATGACGAAGAACAATATACTTTCATTGGCAACCGTAAGTCAAAAGGAGTGGATGCAACTGCGCCAGCCATTGAGGACGATTTTGAGCCATATCACCAGTTGTTTTCAACCATTGAATTTTACCATCCCGAGGACCCCAACTAGTCAGGAAGTCTACACCTTCCTATATGGCTGGCTTAAACTAACTGTTGTAGATTTCATTGACTGATGAAGCCATGTTTTGGTTTGACCGCTGCTAGCTCTTTTCCAGCCTAACCCTATGTCAGCTAACATTGCTCGACGAGGGAGGCGATGACTAGGCATATGTAACACATGTCCTAATCATCTCAGTCGATGTAATTTCACAGCCTCGTCGATTGATTTCCCCTCCCACCTACCTAGCACTCGACATCTAACCCTAATATTGCTCACTCTGTTATACCACTTCATACGGGAAATAGAAAGCAGGCACCTATGATCAAAGACAGCTAATCTTTTCATGTCTTCCACTGTCAGTGGCCAGATCTCACAGCCATAAAGGAGGACGGAGGTTCTCTAATTGATCTCAATCCGTGATGAAATCTTGAAAAAAATAATTTTAGTGTATATTAGATTGAAATTATTCAAATTGGATTTGTTGTAAATATTCTTCTTGTTTAGTCTACTTGAAATAATTAGCTATTTCTTTGCTTTAAATTTCCTTTTAGTTTTGGTATCCTTTGGTCTGTAAATCCTAAAGTCAACTCTACTAGTCTATTACTGGCACGTATTTCTGCCTATATATCATCCAGCATAACCAGTTCACGTGAATCTCCATTTCCTGTCAGTATAGACGGTTTAGGCTCACCTGGTTCAATGGCAGCTTTATCCTTTTTAACAGAAATCTATGCTAATGCTGAAAAGTTGAACACTGATTTAACTGTTGATTTAATTAAGAAAAAATTTGAAAAACTATTTCCATCTGCTGATTCTGAAGATATTTTTTCACTACCGCCTGGTACTAGTGATTATGATGGTGAAGTTAATGTAAGTTTTGTGTGTGTGTATATATTTTATTGTTTTTGGTAAAATATTATCTTATTATCGTTTCATCAGTATTATTTTGATAAACTTCACATGCGTTACTTTTTTTGCTGTTGTTCTCAGAGAGAAAGAAAGAGAGCTCATAGCAAAAGCCAGTGTTAACTGTTTGTTTTAACAGGAACTAAGACCTAGTAGACTATGTGCCTATACTAACGTAATGCGCTGGCTAGCCTGTCCTAATCGCACGTCAACAATAACACCGCCTGGCCGCAAAGATAGAAGGAATGACTGGACGTTGATAAGAGAGCTTTTACTGTCTCAAACAACAGCCAAAGAAGATTGACAGCGCATGCTTATATATATATATATATTCAACACCTGTCCCAGATATATGGAAAATTCTACTGCCCATACAACAAATAGGAGAAGACAGAGAAAACTATAAAAATCAAATCTCGAAGTCGTGTGACAAAAATTGATATGATTATGAACAATAAATTGTGTTCGAAACGTCATCCAGTATACAATACTGTTTCACTGTGTGATACATTTAATAATCAAACTAATATGGAAGTATATATATATCCTTTAAAATGACCATGAGAAGCAGTCAACAACCAATAGGATTCCACAGGTCTTAAGTAGGGTGAGAGAGAATTAGGGATTTGATTGATTGGTTCCAGGATTTCATCATGAACTGACATCATCGGTTAGAGAACCATTGGAAAACCACCTGGGGAGTACTGGACATCTGTTTCGTCCTAGATTGGGAATCTTCACAGTACGCACGCACAATGCGGGATTGAAAGCCAGGTCCTTCTGGTTACAAGGCAATGAAGAGATTGGCTAGTGGTCGCGCTATGTCGTGGGCATGAAGCCAGCAACCCTATCCTTTAAAAATAAACTCTGCTACAGAAACTTCAAACCTCTAGCTTGAAGCCCTATGCTCCACTGGGAACGTGAAGGCATATAAAAAAATGTACGAATTGGTTTTGTCAGTTCATTATGGTCTGAAAAAACATGTACTAGCATTTTTTGGCTAATGAATTTCACATGTGGTTTTTTTAAAAGCATGACATTTTGAACTATGAGGAAGAGAAATTTGAAGCTTTGAAATATGAGTTCTGGGTTTGTCTCCCGGCCAATACACTCCTAAACCTCGCTTAGCTAATAATAAGCCTAGTAATGAGGGGAGGTTAGGCGTGAGACCAGCAATTCCATCCCATAAAAAAGAACAGCCCCACTTCCGCTGAAACTCCAAAGCTCAAGCTTGAAGCGCTGTGTTCCATTCAGAACTCAAAGTAATGGTCAAGAAGAGGTGGTGATTAAAATTTGCGGATGCATTTACGTAAGATTAGAAAGTTGAAATATTCAAGCTTGTAGCTGAAGTCGCTGACCAAAAGCATTTCTGTAGACAAAGTGTGGGAGTATTTTTTTTCGTTATTAATGGTTAAAGCTTCTCCGTTTATAGACAGAAGATATATTGAGCAAACTTCACTATTTAACAAAAAACATTTCGTTTAATATTTTTAGGCACATCATGCATTTCTAGTTCGTTCTGGATTGAATTCAATTCACAAAATTCCATTACTTCTATTCAATGGAATCATATTGGATAGTGAGGGGATTAGAAAACTTGGCGGTTTTGAAGATGCTGTCGTCACTTTATGCATGGAAGAGCTTATACGTGTCCAATCAGCTGTATATCAAGGCAGTATGACAAATTCACATTCAATATTTGATTTATACCAGAAAACAGCTACTGTTGTCCCACGATTCAATTCACGTATCTTGCTAAAGAAGAGTGATAATTCAAATCAACGATCTCTTGCTACTGCACCAAAATATATCAATTTTGAAGGTTATTCTGTAGAACATAAATCTTGTATGTATAGTTGGTTTGATGATGAGTTGTCTTCGGTTATTATTGTTATTATTAAGTAGAGCAATGTTTCATTCTTATGATAAGTGCGTTCGGCTAGCAAGCCCCCTGTTTAACGTTAGTGGTAGCCAGCTACTGATATCAGTCAACCAGTAGTATATGACACCACACTAAACAAAGAATACTCTTTTCGATAACTTCATCATCAGGCTCTAAAGTTATATATACATAATAGTAGTGAATGAATGAATTAGTGTCATGAACAACATTAATGTTTAAATAATATCGAATCAATAATATCAATAGATTACAGTTCAATAGCATCAACATAACAATAAACTGAATATCAGAAAAATTAGGAAAGATAATAATACAAATTCATGAATTTATTGTCTCCACTGAAGGCCGGCCAGGGCAGTAGTAGGGGCTGGCGGGACTTGATTCTTTTGCATACAAAGGACTGGTTGTTTCACGCCAATTGCGATAACCTCTGGTGTTTGGAGCATGTGATGCCGGTTTGGACGAGATGGTCCAATATCGAACTGTTAATGGTTTTAACTACACTTTTACTTAGCCATAGTGGGAGATGTTCTTGAGCACGAAGAATCAAGTTCCCAGAGCAACGGCCAATATAAGTCGCTCCGTCACAAGCGCAGTTGAATTGGTAGATACAATTAGAAGTGGCTAGCCTAGGTACTTCATCTTTCAATCGAGGAATCACCATCAGTCGTGTGGGGAATAAGAAGTGTAGTTCGCCAGCATTAAAAGTTCTTCATAGTTATTTCGCTAGGTATATCGCCCTTGAATTGCAGTCGTATATGAAGAGGCTTCTTGTTTACGGATAGCGAGTAGTCCTTTTCCGCTTTCTTTGTCATGGGTTTCTTGATAAACTTGCCGGGATAGCTATTTTCGATCAAAGTATCATAAACAATGTTTATTTCAGCTTCAATTACTTCTTTTGAGCATATAGCTCATACCCTGTGGCTGAGGGTCTCTACTAAATTGCTTTTGTACTTGATAGGAACGAAGCTGTGGAAATGTGTATATTGTCCTGTCCAAGTGCTTTTCCTACGCAAATTTCTTTTTATGCTACCATCTGGTTTTCTTGTAAGAAGGACATCCAGGAAGGCAATTCTGTCTTGGGATTCCTCTTCACATGTGAATTTCATAGGCGAATGTACTTCATTGAATTCAGTAATTATTGTACTCCTATCCGAATCATTATCACAATGAATGGAAGTGTCATCCACATAGTTGCAATAAAATGAGAACTTTCTGATAAGGTGGTTGTTCAAAGGTTCATTTTCTAGTTTACTTAGAAAGAAATCAGCCAAAATGGGACCCAATGAGGAGCCCATTGCCATCCCATCGACCTGTCTGTAAAGTGTGCCGTCAAATTTGAAATTTACATTCATGGTACACTTTAATAACAATTATTTTAGGATTTCAGTACGGATGCCAAAGTTTATTGACTGGTCATATATAGTTAACTGTTTCTACTAGAGGCATTATTTTTCTTCAGGGTTGATTACTATTTATGGTATCAAGCAGCTTACAGATTGTTATTCGCGTATTACTGATTTCCAAAAGAAATTGAGGTGAATTCCCACCTTGAAGTGTATAATTTGCCTATGATGAATTGGAGTTGTTGTGTTCGTTATGAATTCGAATCGCACTGTTAGTGCTGACCAAGATATTATAAAATACCCTGTAATGATAAATACTAGTGTTCAATCGAGAGGTTCTCTTTTCAGTTTTGTTGTCATTCATAAGGCTTTCGTATATTATTTCATTGCCCCTCATAATCACATTACAACTAGCGTTATTATTATTATTCTTTTGGGTTCTGATTGAAACATACGGCTTCAAAAGCACATCTCGATTTCATCGCGTCCAGTAGAGTTGTCTTAAACTGTCTCAATGATTGCCTATAAGCTCTCGTCTCCTCTCCATATGGTCTCTCTCATGTCATCCTACAGCCAACACCAAAGCCATTATTTCTCTTTCGAGTACCACTCAAAGGCCTTGCACGTGATGTCTTTTTAAAGTCTATTCATCAGTGTGTGCTTGATCCCACCTATGCTACCTTCAGTATATTTGTTGAGCAGTAAGTGTTGTTGATTGGGTTCGTTATTAGCGTTCCTTGTTGCTTTCCTGTGCTTTAAAGTTTCTGTAGGGATTAGAATGATTTTCTAGAGTAGGGTTGCTAACCCCATTCATGTACCGACCTCCCCCATATTTCCTGGTCGGTGGGGAAATAAAGGCGATCGTGTGAAACGAAAACGAAAACTTGTGGGTAGTTTTGCATTCAACTGAAAATAATGGCAGACACCGAGTGCAATGGAGATGGGGGATGCTTAGTTCCTGTATTCCACTCAGAACTCAAGGAACCAATGTATCATAGTATAATATTGCGGACGATTTTCACTTATGTTACCAATAGTCTTTGACCATTAGTTTCTAGCATCCTGAAGACCCCTAGTTAGATTCATTGACGTATGATGATTTCAATTTTCCACCAATTCGCAACATAAAATAACTCTATACATTTGACTTTTTCGGTCACTGTTTTTCCATAAAGCTTTGAGAAATCTTTCTTTGTGCTATTAATCAACGTCTAATGGGAAATCTTGTGAATAAATTGTGTTGATGTGGCGTTGGTGGCTTAGCGGTAGAACGCTCACTAACCACGCTTTACGTGGTCCGGGGTTCGACTCTCAGCCGACAGACCCCTAGACCTCACTAAGCACGGTAGTAAAGCTGGTACCGAGGGGATATTGAGGAGAGATGCTTGCAACCTCCCTCCGTAAAAATAAAAATCCCACAACCAATTGAAGCTTCAAATCTCTGGCTTGAAGTCCCTTGTTCTACTTGAAAAGTGAAAATGTAAAATAAAGATAATAAATAGCAGGACCGGTTAGTAAACTAGGCTACATTACAAGCGTGATTAACAGTGATATGTCTGACAATGAATACTTGAATATCAATGAGAGGCTCACTGCCGACTAACCCTATTCAGGTAGGTAGTTACCTGGAGTTCTATTGGGAAGTCGTGACCAGTAGGGTACAGCAGGTCAGGTGTGAGGACAAATACTCACCAGCGATGACATTGGCTAGTGGTCGTGCTATGTCATGAATTGGCTGAAGTTGGGATTCATGGGCTGGTCATTGGATAGGGTCCCAGTGACTTAATGGTCTACGAGCTATCTCGCCTTGTAACGAGAAGGTGCTTGGTTCGAACCCAGCATTGTGGGTGCGTACTGATTGAGAGTCCCAAACTAGAACGAAACAACCGACCAGTAGTCCCAGCTGGCTTTCTAATGGTTCTCTGATCGATGATGTCAGTTCATGATGAAATCCTGTAACCAGTTAGTTAATTAATTATATTCTGTTATTATCAGTCACGCTAGTTGTAACATGGCTGTAGGCGGGATTACATAATGAGATCATCGCTCAGTGTTTTTCTTTAGAATATATCCTAAAAACTTAATAAAAAGGCAAACTGTTTCAAATTTACAGGATTTCATCATGAGCTGATGACATCAGTTTCAAATTTAATGGCATTGATAAATAGTTTATTTTTTTACATTTTACTTCATTTACGATTCATGTTGGCCCTTTTTCTTTCTTTCCTTAACCAGCTGCTAATGAAAAATTGTCTACTTCGGAATTATTAAAATCATTTCTTGATCAAATGCGTTATTTTCAGAAAGGAGGTAAGATAGACACGTAAGTGATTAATTAATATTGTTTTATTATTTATTTCTTTTTAAGTAGGATTATTGACTCTTGACAAGTTTGACAAAAGTGTTAGCCTCATAGAATATATTACCTCTTAGTGATCGGCGTATACATAACTCAGTAAAATAAGTCGATAGTTTGTTGTTTACAGCGAAGAGACTCCCATCAACCGATTTATTATCAAGTTGTACAACTGTGTATATATGCATATGCGGTTTTTAAGAATACATAAAATAATAATAGTAGTATGAAATAAAGTTATAATCATAGTTAAATGTCAACTGGCAAAACAATTAGTGTTATAATTCATAAGATGTATAGGTGTTGGAAGGAGTGTGTGGAATTATAGGATTAGTAGGTGAATAGAATAAAAATAAAAACTTTATATGACTTTGTGTGAAATTTGATAACATAGAATTCAACGTTGCAAAACAAAATCGATTTAGAATGACAGTGGAACGAGTGAAATGAAACCGGAGACAATTCAAAGTGATAATCGTACTAGTAATAACTGACCTAATAGAAAATGGATTTTCGTCGCATTGTATAGAGAAGAACATACAGCCAAAACGTATGAAATGTGACTTAACATCGATAACCAAGAAAATACTGTATATGAGCTTGGAATTCATAGGTGACTTAGCTTCTGATGTCATTAAAAGAAAGACCTCACAGTCTCTGAAAAGAACATTCCCTTCTGCATCTGTGAGAATAGCCTTTACCAGTCGACCATTACTGTTCAATAACCTGAAGGACAATATCCCGCTGCTGACCAACTCTATGCAAGTATATCAAATCACCTGCTCGTATGGAGCTAGGTATATCGCATTTAATCCAAGAGGGTGCAAGAACACTATCCTGTCTGGTTACGTAGAGGTGGAAGTGGAGCAATAAGAAGCGCGATCACTGAACATCTAGTCGATAATGGACACCCTGTCCGCCCTTAAAGCCATCTACAAGGCGAGAAGTAATTTGCCTAAACAACTACATATCCGACTTATCTGTATTACTGAAGCTTTGGCTATTGACATAGAGAAGCCAAATCTCTGAATACAGAAAAAGTTAGTTCAAACCCACCAACTTTCATTGTCTTAATCTCTCTATGCTAAAGTATGATAATCCCTAATCATATTTTGGCTCTACTTAATTTTCGTTTTGTTTATTCATTTTGTATACTCCTCCTTTATTACGTCATTTCTTAGTATTATTATTCTCACTCAAAACTGTCCCTGGTGTAATTTCACTCGTCCCACTGGTCATTCTAAATCGATTTTGTTTTGCAACGTTGAATTCTATGTTATCAAATTTCACACAAAGTCATATAAAGTTTTTATTTTTATTCTATTCGCCTACTAATCCTATAATTCTACACACTCCTTCCAACATCTATACATCTTATGAATTATGACATTAATTGTTTTGCCAGTTGACATTTAACTGTGATTATAATCACAAACATCTTAATTTTAGTTGCATTTCATACTACTACTATTATTATTTTATGTATTCACACACCTATAATTGAATTTCCTCACCGGATATAATTTCTTAAATACCGCATGTGCATATATATACTATTGTTGATGGAAGTCTCTTTACTGAATCACTTTTTTTGACTCTCTGTATATCCCAATGGGAATTTTCCGCGAGTTATTGTATCGTCGTGACTACATCTTCAAGCATATGAGTGATGAACTTAATATTTTGTTCCCTATAGGTTCATTAGTTATTCATATGAGCTGGGGATTTTTTATGCAGTTTCTCATATTCCGCTGATTCAAGTGAAGAGGAAAACAGTATGCTTACTGCTGTACAGTTTAGACTAAGTGACACAGTGAATCAGTCTATACCACAATGCTGTTTAACGTAATTGTCTGAAACTCACCAATTATCTCCAGTTGTTGATCCTTGGAATCCCGAGGACTCCAACGAACCTGGCAGTCTACACCTCCATACATGGTACAAACTAACTGTTAAAGGTGTCATGGACTGATTCCGTATTTTGGTTTGACTACCACTAGCTCTTTTCCAACCTGCTCCTATGTCCGCTGTTAACAGTGCCAATCGAGTAAAGCGATGACTAGCCATGCGCAACACATGTCCTAACCATCTCAATCGATGTAGTTTCACAACTTCATTGGTAGATTTTCCCTCGTTATCTAACACTCAGCACCAGACCTCAGTATTACTCACCTTATTTATACCATTTAACATGGGTATCAGAACTCAGACACCTATGCTCTAAGACAGCTGGCCTTTTCATGTCTTTCAATTTCAATGGGCACGTCAAACATCCATAAGGGAGGACGAAATGAATTAATGTACAGTATATGTGTCTTTGGATCGATATCCGGATATTAAGTCTACTCCAGAGATGGTGTAAGTTGACATATGCCAAGCGAGCCTTCTGTATCCATTATGAGGTTTCGTCAGCGATCATCCCGTTGGGGATGATGCGACTCTTCAAATAGGTGAATTAGTCAACACGCTCCACCACTTCACTCCCGTATCTTTAAGCTGTGAGTAAATGTAGTCCAGTCCAGTCCTGTAGCATCATCTTACATTTGGCGGGAGCATATCGCATGCCAAACATTCGAATATTGCAGCTCAAGGTGTTCAGAAGACCCTGCATTTAGTCAGTGTCTTCACCTAGAAGGACTACATCATCTATATATTCTAAGTGAACGAGATTATACCTCCGTTACAAGTCAATTCCTGAGTCGCTGAATTCATTTAGGGTTAAATCCATTTTTACATATATGATGTGATTAAACAGAAATGACTTAAGGATTTAGTGTTTTACTAAGATGGGGGGGGGGTTCATTTGAACATGCAGTATAGATTTTTCAACGCGTTATAACATTTTGTATTACCTATAAGATCACCATTCACTTGAAAGATTTTTACTCCTGTTGTCACTCTTTTTGATTATCATTTATTTCGTCTGTAGATGTGGAAGCATCAATTCGACCAGTTACTATGTGGGTTGTTATTGGAGATTTAGATATCCATGTGGATCCAACACTGTCTGAAGAAGATCGTTTATCCCTTGAAATGGATTTAAATTTAGCCTTGAATGCATTAACTTACCTACGTAGTAGTCATTCTACTAAAGGATTACGTATTGGTTTTGTATTCAATCCATCGAAATCAATTGAGACAGTGAAAAATTTGAACAGTTGGTTAACACGTGTTCTATATCTAGTCGGATATCCTACTAATATATCAAGTAAATTTAACACTCATAGTAATAATAAAATGATAAAAATAAAATATGCTGAACAAATGGCAGGACGTAATTTTGGTATACGTGTTATTAAAGAGACATTAGAATCGATTAAAGCATCAAAACCGCTTAAATCACTTGATGAACTTGCAGTTTCGGTAAGCGGGATTTTCTTCTAAAAAATTTAATAGTTTTATGCAATCAATAATCAAATGTTTGATAATACTTTTGATAATACTCTAATAGTTCTTGTCCAGTGTAGTTTTCAAGTATTGGTTTGTAGGGATTTGATTGATTGATTAGAGGATTTCATCATGAGTTGACAGCATCGGTTAGAGAACCATTGGAAAACCAGCTAGGAGTGCTGGACAGCTGTTTCGTCAACCTAGTTTGCGACTCTTCAGCAGTACACACCCACAATACGAGCTTCGAACACTGGGACTTCTGGTTACAAGGCGAGCTAGCTCGTAGACCATTAACCCACTGAGACCCGATCAAATGACCAGCTCATGAATTCCAAATCCAGCGAGTTCATGACATTCAGTGACCACTAGCCAACGTCTTCGGTGAGTATTTGTTCTCACGGCCGATGTCAACTCATTATGAAATCCTGAAACCGGTGTAGTTTTATTATTTGGGAGATTTTTCAATGCCTAAACTAACTTCAAGGTAATTTCTTTTAGAGGGGATCAGTAAAATCCATGGAGCATTCTATCCTTTTTTTTGTTTCGTTTTGAAACTGCTTCATACTACAAACTTTATTTTCCAGAGTTGATTTGGAAGGATTTGATTTGTTTTTCGAGTTTACCCATGGATTTATATCATTTGGAGAACCATTGAAAGCCAGGGAGTACTAGACAGCTGTTTCGCCTTAGTTTGTGAATCATCGACAGTACGCACCCACTGGGTCTTGAATTCAGGACGTTCAGGTTACAAGACAGGCTCGTATACTATTCAACCACTGGGACCCGATTTAATGGCCAGTACATGTATTCTAACTTCTACTAATATGTGGTTTTAGTGCCATCACCAACCAATGTTATCGACGGGAACTCCATCCTCACTCGCGACCGAATGGAACCTAGTGGTCACATCTTCTCACTAGAAACAGCTGACCAGTACTTTCTGGTTTTCAATGGTTCTCTAACTGTTATCAATCCGTGGTCAAACTGAAAATACAAACTTTATGTTAATATGTGTAAAGTGCAGACTAAAACTAACCACACTCAACCGTTAAGAAGCAGTGAAGTTATCACTCGGTTATGATTCAATGGATTTAACGAAATCATCAGTATAGAACTTAGTACAAACTGTATCTGTTCAAGTTGATACAGTTCGGTAAAGCACATAGAAACAGTGAAAAGAATGTACTGAAACTGCATTTGAAGAGAATAATTGAATGAACAGTAATGAGGAATTTTAGAATCTCCAAGATGAAAAGGAGTGAATAACTTTCCACGAATTATCCAAAGAATTTTCAAACGAAATTGGAGATGGGAATGGGTACATATTATAGCGACAGTTGTTTGGTATCATCCACCAAGCCCTCTATTGGGACTCAAAAGGGAAGCGACAGGTAGGGATTCTGAAGGTGACACTGGGGATATCATGTGAAAAGGAAATGAAAGTTTGTTGAAAGTCGTGGAGCCAGTTGAGCTGTGCTACTGGAACCCTTTTTTCCTTTCGGAACACAAGGAACGAATGTTATGTGATATAATACTGCGGACGAGGTTTAGTTACATTACTGACAGTCTCCGAATATTGGTTCGTAGCATCCTGAGCACCTTCATTTAGTTTCATTGGCTGTTAACTTTGAATTTCTGCCATTCCGCAACATCATAACATAACCCTTACTCTAACTGTCATCTTTGATTAATTACCTCAATACTAGACATTCTTCCTCACCGTTTTTCCATGAAGCTTTGAGAAATCTTTCTTTGTGCTAGTATCCAACGTCCAGTGGAAAATCTTATCAACAAATTGTGTTTATGTTTAATCTAGTAGGACTAAGTCATCCGATAGTATGGAGATGATATTCATTTTTACAAGTATGTGAATTGTTGTCGTTCAGTTTAGAATGGATAGTTATGCGATCGGCTGATATAGAGCATGGGTAGTGAACCCTGTTCACATGGATTGGTTGAGGTGATATCCAACTCAACTTCCTCGATGATATCTAAACTGTATTTGTTAATTTTATTTTTTGGTATTTTTAAAATGTTTAGAATGTGGATACCAAAAAGATACAAGATGCTCTTCAATTATTGGATAGAAATAATTTTATGCAAATGCATTCATCTATTGCTCGTCAGATTATTGGTCTTAAACCTGGTGAACGAGCTGTTGTGGTGAATGGTAGAGTAAGTTTAGTGTTGATTGCTATGCCGTAGATTTGTGCGCATGAAATCACTTTGTAGTTATTTCTTTTTTTATGGGGGTTACTATCTCTCTCTCTCTCTATTGTTTATGCTGATGAAAATAAATGTAAATTCCTTTTTTTATAATGTTATTAATAATTTTATAACTCTAAGTAGTCAACGACAACCAACAGGGAACTCTGCATATGCCTTTCATGCGTGTGTGAGTGTGCTTCGACACTTATCAGCTAGGTGTATGCTAGACTACGCCATTTGAGCTATACTCCTGTACTACTTAGGGTAGCATTCAGAGATATTTTCGCTTAGCTGTTCAGCACATTATTGATCTATCGAGCTGAGTTAAATAAATAGGATTGGTCATAGTGGACTATGACACCACTACTGAAGAAGGTCTGGAAAGACGGCAATGTACCTGCAAATTAAAAGAAGGGCTACCTATTCAAACTACCAAAGAAAGGAGACTTAAGTAAATGCAAGGACTGGCACGGCATTATGTTCCTGTCTATCCCAAGTAGAATACTAGACCGCACCATCCTGGTGAGAATCAATCATGCCCTGAATGAAAAACTTCGACCAGAACAGGTTGGATTCAGGAAAAACAAGTCATGAATCGATCAAATCGCGACACTACGTATCATCATTGAACAGAGCTTGGAATTACAGTCAGCTCTCTATCTCAACTTCATCGACTTTGAAAAGGCTTTCGATAGTGTCGATCGAGAGGTGATTTGGAAACTACTTCGTCACTATCAAGGGGTGCCACCAACAATCATATACCTCATCCAACAGTTAGTTGTGCGATAGTGCTGCATTCCAAGTAATCCACAACGGGAAACTCATGGAATCCTTTGGATAAGTGAAGGCGGTAGTAAGACAAGACTGCCTACTATCTTCAATGATTTCCCTGATTGCAGTAGACTGGGTAGTGCGATAGAAACAGCGGTGGGTTGGGTAACGAGGAGAGAGAGGCATAAAATGGACCCACAGAAAAAACGTGGATGATCTGCATTTCGCCGATGATATATATATGTCTGTTTTCCCACACACTGGAAATATGCAAATGAAATGCAACAGGTTGGTGACCGAAGAAGAAACATCAAATACAGGTGAACATTGAGAAAACAGAGGTGATGAAGATTCGTGGCCAACAGCGACAGCAACAACCACCGCAACAGACTACAATCAGCATAAATGGGAGAAATGTGAAAGAAGCAACCTCCTTTACCTACCTACCTGGGAAGCATCGTCTCAACTACAGGTGGATGGAACTGATGAGGATATCAAAGCGCGGATCCGGAAATTGCTCATCACATTCGTGTTGATTTTGTCATTTCATGGGGAAGGGAGGTGTTGTAAACAGGACAAATTCTGTTTTAGTGCATCATTCCGATTCAGAAAATTTTGATTCTATTTGTTATGAAGCGCTTCTGATGATATTAGACGTTGTTTGTGATTTCTGAAATGCTTTTTCTGGATTATTTCAATATTGTCAAAATCAATTTTGTGGCCTGATTCTATAGCGTAGTGTGTAGACGACCTATGGGTGAGGATTTTTCAAGATTTTCTAGTTCACTAACTGGATTTCTTGGTGGTCGAACACAGTCGGGTCTATGTTATTCGTTTCTTCTGATTTTGATTTCTCTCTGGCGATGTTTGTGCGATGTATGTCGCACCACATCTCAAGCATTTTATTGTATAGACACAATTCGATAGAGAATCCTTATGGATTTGATCTTTTATGTGGACAAAGTTGCTTTGTAGTGTGTGTCTGATGTTTTGAAGAAAACTCTGATGTCGTGCTTACTGAGTACGCTTTCGATATCGTTTGATGTCCCTGATCTATACGGGAGTGACACCTGTTGAGGCCCATGTTTTCGGAATACCTTTTCGACCATACTTAATGTCAGTGTTAATTTTGTTGATGAAGTTCTTTGAGGAGTTATTTTGTTGGAGAGTCCCAGTAGTGTTTGATAATCACCTTTAAAATAGAAAAAATATTTGTATCCTGTAATTGGGGTTTGATATTTTATTGTGGACGTTTTATTATCAAGTCTGAAGGTAGTTTCAGCACTGCTTTCACATTAATAACACACTGACTATATATGTTTGTAACAACAGAAGACAAGGGCCGGAAACAGATCGTTTTATTACGGAAATCAGCACGTATTTATATATGTTTCATGTACATTATTATAGCTTATTCAAGCAGACAAACACAGTCTTCTGATTAGTTGTTTCTGGTTTCTCAGAAAGTTAAGCCATATATCTGCGAATCTTATTTGCCCACGTTAAGTCTGCTGTGATTGATTGTTGAATCAGCCTTGTTCATATTTTCTCACGGCCAATATTAGTGACCGAGACATTGACGTAAATTAGTGTCTACCAATTGGCTAGCAGCCTGCTCTCATCACAAATATGTAGCATTAACTTGAGGCTTCTCATCTTTATCATATCTAATTTCAGATATTAGGTCCATTAGAACCACTTGAAGAATTCTCAAATGATGATTATCGTTTAGCAGAAAGACTAGCTCTGGATAATGGAGCTAAACAGCTTGGTGATACAATAGAAGAAATTATTGGTGGAAAATTCGATGGACCTGAGACTATTTCTGAACTCACTTGGCAAATGTCATCAGTTCTTCAATCAGGTATTGAAGCTACTAGTTCAGTGATATCAGAAACGGTTAGTTGTTGTTGTTTTTTTTGTTTTACTAATAAGACTTTTTTGTTGTTGTTGTTTGTCTCTTACTCCCACGTTTATATTTTTTTCACAACTCTCCTTTTTGGTGTTACTGTGTAGTTGATGGCGAACATTTTTAATTCGAGGATTATTTTGATGTCTGTCACATTGTCTAAACTGTCAGTCAGAATCTTAACCATACGATAATAATGAAAGCCCCTTAATATTCAAGTGTTAGTTTGCAGGGATTTGATGATTAGTTTCAGGATTTCATCATGAATTGATGCCGGTTACTGAACCGCTAGATAACTAGTGGCCAGTTAGACCTGACCCAATGGTCTACGAGCTCACTTTGTAACCAGAAGTTCCTGGGTTCGGATCTCAGTGCGTATTAAAACTTTATATTAGAGAATTAAACAAAATATCGAAAGCCTAGTTGTTGGTTTTTAGAGAAGTAGCCTTGGTAAATCTAATTTTATGAATATGTTTAACCTGTATGTGAAGAGAATTTTCAGGTTTATTACTTGGGAGTGGTAAGAACGTCAAATACATATGACTAACTGCCGTTCCCATGGAACCCTTTTCTACTTCGGCCGTCAAGGTTTTCACTTGGATATTTGATACTAGCTCTGTAGTTGCTTCACCTAGACTTACGCCTTAGGCTTCTCGCTAGCCACAGCGGATCCTCTTACTCGTAGCCGCCACTGCATACCTAGGCCAAGTCAGCTCGCCCTTACCCTGCTTAGGCCCAGCTTGTACTAACGGTATGGTATAGGCCTAACGCTCGAGCGTAATCCATTTTCAGGGCATGTTGATTCGGCAAGTATGATGATTATTCTAGAATATTGTGTGTATACAAATATGTATATAATTGTAGAGCCAGAAGAGGAAGTTATCGGAAAGGATATTCTTTGCTCGATTTCTTCTCTCTAAATATCACATGGTTGTGTACGAGTTTCTAGCTCTAATGAACTTCGTAACTAGTAGATTTGCTACCGTATACTTTCTGTCGTAATCAATGTTTGCAACAGTAACCAATCACAACACGATGTTACTGATACATGACGCAAAGGAGAAAAAAAAGAAGGAAGAAGATAGACCATTGAGTAAAGAGCTTTTACTGTCTCGGATCAACGGTGAAAAAAAAACAGCTTGACAGCAGTTCCATATATATAGACTTAAATTACCTTTTGTTTAAATGACCTTCATTTGATAAGCTAAAATAGTTAACAACCATCTCTAAGGTTTAGAGATCATACATAGGTGGGGGAAATCGCAAACATCACTTTACTGTAAAAATAAATGTAATATTTTAGGAAAATTAGGTAAATGTAATATTTAGATATTTATTTAAGATGTTTAGTTGAGCCAAGTTAAACTTTTAGCATCAGAGGAGTGCGACCGTAACACAGTATTAGTGACGTTGCAACGCCCAGTCAACAAGTTAGTGAAACCCGGTAAATAACACTATAATCACATGATGTCTTATGATATTAAATGAGATATCTGATAGATTTGGGGGAAAATTTAGTTAAGGTTTAGGTTTCCGATATATTAGGGCTACATTAACCTAATGAGGGAGATATTAGGATTGATTCGAGTTATATTATGTTTATTTTAGGGATGGGTTGGCGTTGGGGGTAAGGTGCGAGGTAGATTGAAGTTAAGATTAAGATTAAAAGATTTAGGTTGAATATATGTGTATGGAATGTGGTTTAGTTACTCTGTTGACACTCTAGTGCTAAACTGGGAGGCAATTCCGTCACATGACACAGAAAGGTATCCCGTGTAACAGTCTCATGCTGTTTCATTCATTGTTTTCATGGATATCTTGTATATCTTGGTGCGTCGTACTCCATCAGTGCCTAAAGTTTAACTTTACCCATAGTTGAACCAGTTAAAATCTGTCAATGAAATTCATGTTCATGCACAACTTTCTGACAATTAATCAATAAGTCCTCAATTGCTTATTCCTTTCTTAAATCGACATACAGAGATAGCGTCTTGGTTTGAAATAATAAAGACATTGTAACTGTACGTATAAGATTTCAAATAGCGGAATTTACGTGTAACAATCGTGCTAATTGGTAACCTGATGCTTTAAGTTCTATCATGGATTGATATTCCTTAGAGAACCATTGAAAGTGAGGCAGTACTGGACAGTGGCTTCGTCCTAGTTTGGTGCTCGTCGGCACTATGCACCCACCGGATTTTGAACCTCAGGAGCTTCCTTTTACAGGGCAAGCTGGTATACCATTCAGCCATTGGGACCCGACTCAATGGTCCATGAATTCTAAATTTTTCTGATTCGTAATTTTAGCACGACCACCAACCAGTATCATAGGTGAGTATTGTTCCTCACTTGCAACTGGATGGAGCCCAGTGATCATGACTGCTCACTAGAACGTCAGTCAACTTCGTTCTGTATCCAGTTGCTAGCTTCTCGTAGCCATCATGACCCTTCGAACTGGTATAATGCTGCTGTTAAGTGTATCTCATAAGCTCTCCTTGATGAATTTCAATCTCAGTATCTAATATCTCCAAAGAAATAGGTCCAGCAATGTGTCATATAATAGCAATGCAAATGAAAAGCAACAAGTCGGCAGAAGAAGCATCAAAGGTAGCACTTCAGGTAAACATAGAGAAAACAGAGGTGATGAAGATTCCTGGCCAACACCACCACCATCACCAACAGACAACAATCAGCCAGCAATAAATGGGAGGAACTTGAGAGAAACAACCTCCTTCACCTACTTGGGAAGCATCGTTTCAACTACAGGCGGACAGAACTGATGAGGATATCAAAGCAAGGATCGGGAAAGCAAGACAAGCTTTCATTACTCTCAAGTCTGTGTGGAAATCAACAGCACTCAGCATGAAACTGAAAATAAGATCCGGATTTTCAACTCCAGTGTGAAGTCAGAGCTACTATACGGATCAGAGACTTGGCCAGTGCGTCATAAAGAGCATCTCAAACAAACTACAGACTTTCATTAACAGCTGTCTTCGCTCACTACTACTCAAGATCAGATGGCCGGGGAGAAAAGATCAGCAAAAGCGATCTCTAGGAGCGAACCAACCAGGAACCGATTGTGCAACAATCATTCAGGAAGAAATGGAGATGTATTGGCCATGCTCTGAGGAAACCATCAAGTGACATCAATAGGCAAGCCCTCGGGTGGAACCCGAAAGGGAAGCGGCGAGTTGGTCGTCCAAGGGTGACTTGGAGAGGTCATGTGAAAAGGAGATGAAAGCATGTGGGCAGACTTGGAGGGAGGTGACAAAATTGGCAGAGAACCGAACGCAATGGAGACGTGCGGCTGAAGCACTATGTTCCTCTAGAAATTAAAGGAAATAATAATAATAATAATAATAGGAATAATATTTTTTATGTTGAATAATTATCAGACTTCTTGATAGCATAAAAAATTCAACTCCCTTAAAGTGAACTAAGAGAAGTTCATACAGAAATACTTTGTCTCTGGTCTTGCATCAACGTAAAATGTGACGTAATTTCTGCTGATTAGGGTGTATTTGACTATCACAAGTTCTGGGTTCGAACCCTGATGGGTGGGTACCGTTGAAGAGTCCCAAACCAGGACGAAACAGCTGTCCAATACTCCCCGTAGGTTTTCCAATGGTTCTCTAACCGATAATGTCAGTTCATGATGAATTCCAGTAACCAATCAATCAAAGCCATACAAATCAATACTTGAATACGCAGCTGTTTTTGCTGTTATTGTCGTTGTTATTGTAAATTCAGAATTTATTTTCTATACCATTAAATTCTATTCATGAATAGTCACTGATAGACTAATTTCCTGCATACTGTTATTTACCTTTTTCAGTCTTCAGTAGATGGAATCTCTGATAAAGCTCATAATGGACACAGAATACGCCTTCAGGATGTAACCTACAAACACTCAGGCTTTATTATTTATGGTAATGAAAAGGAACCGAATTTTGAAGTAATCGCTATTATTGATCCAGCGTCTCGTGATGCTCAACGTCTTTCACACATACTTCTTGTATTGCAGCAGTCTTTACCGTGTACTGTAAAAGTTCTCCTGAATCCAACTCCTTCATTGTCAGAATTACCAGTGAAGAGGTAGGCTTAAATTCTTATTTCATTAATATATATATATATATATCCCAGTAAAGTGCTAACCGAGAGGTGGTTATCGTTTATTCGTTTATTAACAGTGTCGTAGATATTTTAATACTAGGGTAGATTTGTAGATCGAATTCAAGAATATTTTTATTTGTACTTCAAATGTCTACATTCGAATATCGTTATCGGGCTAAGTGAGAAATTTAACGTTACATCAAATGAGGATATAACGGTGAGCACATCTACAATATAGTGTAGCATTCTGAGTGAAATGTAGTGTGGTGAGAGCTGACTGCGAACAAGCCAAAATTGTAAGCAACAATTTACGTTAGTGTTTACGTCCCGACCCGTGGTCTTGAGAAAAAACAAGAAAATAAAACCTAACCTTGAGTAACTCAACAACCAATCACAGAAGACTTAGCGTGTGCAAATACGATTTGCAGAAAAAGGGCTTAACATTCTAAGAAACGGTCACAAGCAGTACAGAATAACCTTCACCAAGAAAACAACCAATCAGAAGACGTTGCTCTTCTCTGCTAACAATAACGCTAATAATAATGTACACAAAAATCTATAAATACCTCTTGATTTTCTCAATAAACGATCTGTTGCCTGGCCCTTGTCTTCTGTCGTTACAATAGGACTTGGTGCTTGAGCTTTAAAGTTTCAGTAGCAGTGGAATTTGTTTCTACGGAATGGGGTCGCTAGCCCCACATCTAACTTCCCCTCTTTACCTGGGTTACTACCAGCTACGTGTTTTAGGAGTGTGTCGGTTGAGAGTGGAACCCTAATCATCGGTTTTCAGGTATTGGTTTTGTAGGGAGTTTGTTTGATTGCATGGAGGATTTCATCATGAGCTGACGTCAGCTGGAGAACCACTGGAAAACCCAGGAGTACTGGACAGCTGTTTCCTTCATTCTAGTTTGGGACTCTTCATCAGTACGCACTCACTGCCACGATTCGAACCAAGAACCTTCTGGTTACAAGGCGAGCTAGATTGTAGACCATTGTGCCACTGGGATCCGATCCAATGGTCCTTGAATTCTAAGTTCTGCCAATTCACGACATAGCGCGACCATTTCGCAATGTCTTCTTCGATGAGTTAAAGTAACGTGGAAGTTAGAATTCAAAGACCATTGGATCGGGTCCCAGTGGCTAAATGGTCTACGAGCTCGCCTTGTAACCAGAAGGTCCTGGTTTCGAACTGTAGTGGTGGGTACGTACTGATGAAGAGGCCCAAACTATGACGAAGCAACTGTCCCGTAGTCTCAGCTGGTTTTCCAGTGGTTCTGTATTGATGTCAGCTCATGATGAAATCTTCCATGCAATCATCGATTTATTTATTTCCTCTTGTTGATTTCAACATCCTTTTACAGATATCAGTTGCTGATGTTTAGGCTATTTCCGTATAACTAACTCAGGCCCTCAGGTGGTCATTTATGGTTTGTTGGAGAAAAAGTGTCGTAAGGATGTCACTTCATATATATTTTAAACAATGTCAGATATACTTATTTTTCTTGTTGAAGGCTCTTCATTTATTTTGATCGAGTGCGACTACTAATAATCTTATTGTTTCTCTCTATTTTTAGTTTTTACCGTTTTGTATGGGAACCATCCCTTTTTCCAACAAATGAATCTTCCCCTGTTGATTCTGCTATTTCTCCTCGTGCTTACTTCACCAATTTACCTGGCCAATCATTGCTCACTTTAGGAATGGATGAACCGCATGGTTGGATGGTTGCTGCTATCGAGGCTGAACAAGATTTAGACAATTTACGTCTTTCCGATTATCAATCTAGTAAACATTTAGTCGAGGCTGTCTTTGAACTAGAACATCTTTTACTTGAAGGTCATTGTATTGAAGAAGCGAATATGAAACCACCACGTGGACTTCAATTTACTCTGGGTCCTACACCAACTACTGAAATGTATGATACAATCGTTATGGCTAATTTGGTAAGTTTTATTTTATTTTATTGAGGATTTTGAATGATGTTACTTTATCTTACAAATGAAATAATTCTGATGTGTAAATTTATCTAACATATTCTTAGTCTGTCAATTTATTTTGTCATGATGTACACTTTTCAATGTGAATCATATCCTTATAATCACTGGTGCGTCAGTAGTTCAGCGGCAGGATGCTCCCCAACCATGCACATGGCCCGGGTTCGGATTCCTGGCTAATTCATTCCTAAACCTCCGCCTAACCGGTAGGAAAGCTTGGTAAAGAGCGAAAGGTTCAGTGTGAGGATATCAACCCTCCCCTGTGAAAAATATCGCTGCTAGTGAAACTTCAGACTTTAAACTTGAAGGCGTATGTTTGACTTGGAACACAGAGGAATGGAAATTATATTCACCTAAAGAAAGCGTTAGCAACAGGAAACTCTGACTGATCACAAACCAACAGGCGAGAGCCGATGATCGCTCAACAGATAGATCGGGCATACGTTGAAGAGGGGGGCCGTCGAATGACATCGGTCGATTGGAACCGCAATGGTAGGAGGCAACAATTGGGTCGTCATTGCGAGGGTGACATGAAGGAGATTGTTTTGGGACGAGGAGATGAGAGAATATGGTCAATCGTGGGGCTTGCTGGAGATGATAGTAGAAAATGGAAGAAAGTGGAGATGTGTTGTTGAAACCGTATGTTCCACTCTAAACCCAAGGGAATAATAAAAATAAAACCTACGAACATACCGGGAAACCACTAAGTATTTGTAAGCGATAGTGTTTTTGAACCGCTATTAGGAGTATCGCTCAGTTAAATGGATTCATGTGATTCAATTAGATAATTTAATTTTCTTTTCAATAGTGATTTTATATGATACGGTGTCACCTCAACTCCCTAGGTTGGTACCTCGTCGGTTGCTAAGCTTAGCTGAAGTAATTGTCATAAAGATTTTCCAACCGAATCGTCGTGTTCAGAAAAAGTTTGTTCAATCCTTCCCCCTCCCTTGGCCTTCGCTTCTAACCTAAAATAATTATCTCTTCCGATAACACCGGATAATTTTAACTATCATCTTATTATTTTTATTTGTTTAAATTTTATTTCTTATTGTACTGCTAACTGTATTATCAATGTCATGCTCTGCTAGAGTTGTACATTTTATTCTCGGTTCCACAATTTATTATTATTATATTATCTAATCGCTATATGACAATAGTTATTTTCTCCTCTACCCTATTAGTATGCACATTCTACTTATACACTCACCGTCCTCCAGATTATATAAACACTTGAATGAATTTATTCTTGTTATTATTACTATTATGACCAATATGAGTTGAAGACATGAAAAGGTTGACTGCTTTCGATCATAGATGTCTGCGATCTCTGTCTCACGGTAGGTGGTTTAATAAGGTAAGTAACGTTAATGTTAGGCGTATAGTGTTGGGCAAACAGGGAAAACCAATCGACGAGGCTATAAAGTTACATAGATTGAGATGGCTAGGTCACGTGCTGCGCATGCCTAACCATCGCCTCCCCCGTCGGGCATTATTAGCTGATATAGGTGCAGGTTGGAAAAGAGTAAGTGGTGGCCAAACAAAAACATGGCCTCATCAATCCATGAAATCCTTGACAGTTAAACTGAGTCAGTCAGGTAGGGAGATGCAGACTTCCGGGTTGGGGCCCTGGGGACTCTAGGAATCAATGGGTGGAGACAATAGCTGACATGGCTCAAAATCGTTGTCAATGGCTCAGATGTATTCAGTCTCTGTAATTTTTCATATTCCTTTCTACCATTACCCATTCTGTTTCACTCTTATACTTGTCAGACTGTATTGATTCTCTTCACTCATCTTCTTGTCTACCTCTGTGTGTTATTGGGAACCTGGCAACTCGAACTGGTGCACTTCGGTGCCAAGTTCTATGTTGAATCCAGACAGAGACAGACTATTATGATGATCACCTCGATTGTTATCCAGTAATTCACATCCCTAAACTCTTATCCTTGATATTCTACTAACCACATCAATTTTTATGCCTATGACTAATATTCCAGCATTATGTAAATGTAAAGCCTGATGAGAATTTACTGAAAATACGTGTTTGCCTGTTTAAGTAGTGTTCTATAATTATCATTATGGGAATATTCAGACTATAGATAAGTTCATCAGTCTGTCTGTCTGTCTGTTTTCGATATAGAACTTTGCACAAATGTGCGGAAGTTCAAGTCGCCACATTCCGTGTAGCACGCGAAGCAAGAGAAGAAAGTACAAGAAAAGCATAATAGAAACAGTGAGCAGAGGTGTGAGACAAAGGAGTAATAAAGAAATACAAAACAGTTTCATTGAAGATCATAAGTCACAGGGAGTGGATGCATCTGCGCCACTGAGAACGATTTTGAGCCATGTCACCAATTGTTTCCAACCATAGATTTTTACCGTCCCGAGGACCCCAGCCTGGAAGTCTACACCTTTCTACGTGGCTTAGACCAACTGTTGTGGATTTCATTGACTGATGCCAAGTTTTTGTTTGACCGCCGCTAGCTTTTTTCCAGCCTGACCCTATATCCGCTAACATTGCTCGTCGAGGGAGGCGATGGCTTGGCATACGTAACACATGTCCTAACCATCTCAGTCTTTGTAGCTTCACGACTTCGTCGATTGATTTCCCCTGTTTACCTAGAACTCGACGCCTAACCTCCATGTTGCTCACCTTACTATGCCACTTTACACGGGAAATAGAACGCAGGCACCTATGATCAAAGACAGCTAGTCTTTTCATGTCTTCCACTCTCAGTGGCCAGGTCTCACAACCATAAAGGAGGACGGAGCGGACTGATGAGCAGTACACCCGCCCTTTGGTCGATAGTCGAACATCTCGTCTACGCCAGAGTCGGCGTAAACTAACAAATGCGAAACGAGTCCCTTGTATTCGTGCTGAGATTTCGTCAGAGATCAGCCCGTTGGGGCTGATGGTACTTCCCAAATAAGTGAAGCGGTCAACGTGCTCTACCACTTCACTTCCTATTTTTAAACTAGGCGTCGATGTAGTCCAGTCCTGTAACATCATCTTGCATTTGGCGGGAGCGAATCGCATGCCAAACATTCGTAGACTGCAGTTCAAGGTGTTCAGAAGACTCTGCATTTCGTCAGCGTCTTCGCCTAGAAGGACTATATCGTCTGCATATTCCAAGTCAACGAGATTATTCCCCGGTAGCAAGTCAATCCCTGAGTCACTGAAGTTCATCAGTAAGATTTATGAGATTCAAGTTTATTTGCTGTTTGCGTCTCCGTGTCACATAGCTTAATTCTATCAATAAGTCACATTTATCTTTTGGAGACTCTATAGTTTGTTCAGATTTAGTTAAGCGGACTGGGAGATTCGCTCTTAGCTTAATGGTTGAAGATAGAGTGTCTTCATCAGTTTGTTCACAGTTGCATCCATGCCTTTACTAACTTTATTATATCATATCTGTTCAAACTCAATCAAGTTTACTTAAAATGGAGTCGGTTCATGAATAGTTTTAATCGCTCATCAATTCTTTTATATTTTTTATTGCTTCACGTTCCCCAGTGGAACATAGGGCTTCAATCTAGTGACTTGAAGTTTCTGTAGCAGTGTTTATTTTACAGGATGGGGTTGGTAGCCTCATGTACAACCTTTTGTCTTTACCAGCATTATTTTTGGCTTAGCGAGGTAAAGGAGTGAGTCGGCCGGGGACCGAACCCCGGACCATTTGCATGGTCGGCGAGTGCCCTAACCGCTGTACCACCGAGGCACACTGTACACTGTAACGCATTTTTATTCTAGTGGGTAGATATTTAAAGTCCTAATTGTTATTGCTGTTGTTGAGATTTTCACTGAATTTCATTCATTGTACGTATTTACATTAATTTTGTTTTTCTTTTTTTTCCCATATAGGGTTACTTCCAACTAAAAGCCAACCCAGGTGCATGGTATTTAAATATTCGAGCAGGAAAATCACAAAAACTTTATGAAGTATCTGGGTAGGTTTTCTAAATTAAAAAAAATAATGTTTTTGTTTTTCAAAAAAAAATTTACAGTTGTTTGCCGAACTAATGTTTCTCTTGATAGGTAGTTTGAACTAAAGTAAGACAATAGTGGAAACAAGTAATGGTGATGTAATCCAGATAACAGGGATTCATCAAATTTTCCCCTGTTAGACTGCCCTGTTCAATGAACTATTAAGTTTATGACTAGTATCCTTACCTTGTTAGGGATTAACAGTGTAGTGAATTGCTGATAGCATGACTAAAAGGTGTGACTACAGTGGTTCAGATGTCTTTATTATATAACTGTATCTTTGATCTTCTGAACAGTTTATTCAACTTCTGTTGAATTATAATCCCATCCCGCGAAAACGTTTTTATTTATCTGGTCAAGTTAAACTTTCAGCACCACTAACTACCAATCAGCGAATGACCTTGAATTGTCCAATGAGTTTCATCCACGTGAGTTGAAAGTTCTATTCCACTTGATTCGAGTCATTTGTCAGGGAGGGTAAGCTGAATAGGAATATTTTTTGCCAGGTCCCACTTTTCCGCAACCCAGATTTTGTAAATTTGTAGTTAGTGGGTTTTAAAACAGCCTGTGACAGCTGTAGCTACTTGTTATGTACTCGTCGAGCAGTTAATAGTCTTGACGCGGAAAGAGGAAAATCAGAAGACCACGAGATTTACAATGATACTTGTATTTTCCAGACAAGGAAAATAAATGTCACACAAGAGTGTGAGTGAATGGTACTTAGATGTACAAAATGTGTGTGTACACAAGAATAGTAAAGCAAGAGTATATATGAAAATGGCTAATACACATGAACCAATAAGATAACGTCTTACCATGATTGGTTGTAATGTCATGTGATAATAAGGTCATATATTGTTTATTTAGTTAGTGGACAGACAAAAGCATAATGTCAGTTATAATGGATTATCGAGCTATATACACATCATGTGGATACATATCACTACTGAAACGAGGAAAATAGTCTCGTATCAACAGTTCAGTGGTACCAGCACTGCAGAGATATCGCCTCATGGGGAATGGCGAGAATTACTTCGTTGTTAGGAGGTGTCATCGTACACGTGGATGAGTGAGAAGGTTATAACTTCCCGTTATCCCTTGGATATATTCGCCAAAGAATTAACCATTGGATTGGTTTTGTGGATCTCACTATAGGGACACACATCAGTTCTATAGAAGGCTTTTGGGAAAGGGTCATTAATGGATCTAAAAATGATGTCATTTATAGACATTTAGATGAATATATGTATAGGATGTGGTGTAACTTTTCAAGTGATACCCCTATGCTAAACTAGATGTTTTTAGAATGATTTGACTCTGTGGAATACATAAAATTTTAATGATGGTATTTGACAGAGTGATTTAAAGATGACACTAGTCTTAGAGAAGTACACTTTTCAACTTCTCCTTTAAGTTTATGTGTGAACAGACGTACATAGAGAAGACCCATCGGTCTCTGAAGGTTAGAGCTAGAGAAAATATTCCAAAATGCCTGCAACAACATATAAAGTCGCCAGATACAATTGATCCCGCAAATAAATGTCCAATGTCATCTGTAGTGTAGCACATTATAGAGATGGGTCACAAGGTTGGTTTCAATAATGCCTTTAAACCCATTTATCAAACAAGGTTGGGTTACATGCTTTAATTTGTTGAAGCATTGGTCATAAAAAGGCTTAAACCTGTCTTATATATCCAAAAGTTATTTGTTACTACTTTAAACCTACCTTGGTAATCCAATTTAGAACCTGGAATCAATTTACTTCATGATATTTTCAACCCCTTCTTTTCTTTGTTATTTCTTTCTTACACACACATTTGCGTCATCTCCCTACCCATTATTTGTGATCTTGACCTGTACACTATCTGACCTGTATCGTAAATAATTCATGCTTTCTTGCCTTCTGTATAACTGTGCATGACAAGTACGTGCGTGATCAGAATGTCCGGAATGTGTCGCGTAAATATATTATACGTGTTTCAGATAAACTGCGTCATATTACTGTGTCGGCGAAACTCTTTTTTCTGATATATGGACATCGTCCCAAAGGTGGAAATCTAATAAGTGCAATTTGTTATGATTGTATTTGAGGGTAGTAGAGATTTCCTGTTTGATACATATCAAGTGGATTTGTTAAATTTTTTTGTTTATTATGTCAACGAGACTGGAACTTCAATTATGCATCATACCAGACACTGGGTGCTCGTCGATAAGCAACTGGGAAAATAAATGTCAGCTGTATTGAAGTTGGGCTTATTTCTTCGTTGAATTAAGTAACTGATTGTACTAGGCAATAACTAATAATATGTTCGATTAAAATATTTACTTTCTTTCAGGCTTATGATGACGTCAGTGATGATTTTTCAAGTATTGGTTTTTTGTAGGGATTTAGTTTGATTAGTTGAAGGACTTCATCATGAGATGACATCAATTAGAGGACCATTGGGAAGCAACCTGGGAGTATTGGACAGCCAGCTGTTTCGTCAGCCTAGTTTGGGACTCTTCAACAGCACCCACCCACCACCAGGAGTTCAACCGAGGACCTTCTACTTACAAGGTGAACTAGCTCGTAGACAATTTAGCCACTAGGACCCCATCCACTGACTAGTCCATGAATTCTAACTTCTGTCGATTCATCGCATAGCGCAACAATTTCGTAATTTCTTCTAGTGGGAAGACGTAACCAGTGGGGTCTAGCAAGTTGAAGGTGAGGTAATAGCTCACTACAGAAGACATTATGAAGTGGTCGCGCCATCTCATGAATTGGTAGAAGTTGGAATTCATGGGCTAGCCATTGGATCGGGTTCCAGTGGCTTGGTGGTCTACTAGCTAGCTCGCCTTGTAACCAGAAGGTCCTGGGTTCGAACGCTGTTGGGGTGGGTGCGTACTGATGAAGAGTCCCAGACTAGAGCGAAGCAGCTAGCTGAACAGTACTCATAGCTGGTTTTCCAGTTGTTCTCTAACCGATGTTGTTAGCTCATGGTAAAATTCTGTAACCAATCAAAAAAATCCCTACAAACCAAAATTTGAATACTATCTTTGTTAAACTTTCAAATTACTCTGGTGATTTTGATTAGGATGTGATTGGGAACTTCTGCCTATTTGCACTGTTTTTATTCTTACAATTAATTTCTATTTATAAGCGTCTTATGATAACTAGTTTGTACATACAATGGACATGCTAATTTTATTAAAACTTTCTGTTGTTGTCTTTTTTATTTTTGTTTTCTGTGCATTAAATAAATTGACTCCAGTCAAGAGCATACTGATACGCCTTTAAATTCAAGTGAAATTATTACACTGATTAGTAATTTCCGTTCAAAAATCATCGGAGTTTATGTATCTAAACGATCAGAATATGCTGGTGATAATATCCTGGATGATGATACTGGCACAGAAGAATCAACATCTACTGCTACGAATTGGTTAAATAAACACACTGAAGTATGGTCTACATTGACAAATTATGCAGAAGAATATTGTCCATCTTGGTTAACTAGGTAAGTAAGTGTGCAACGACGGAAGACCAAAGACCAGGCAACAGATGTTTATTGATTTTTATTTACATTATTATTAGCGTTATTGTTGGCAGGGAAGCAGCGTCTTCTGATTGATCGTTTTCTTGCTCAAGGTTATTTTGTCATCTCTTTGTGGCCGTTTCTCATAAAATCAAGCCATATATCTGCGAATCGTATTTGCTCACACTTTAAGTCTGCTGTGATTGGTTGGTGAGTTCGCTAAGGTTAAGCTTTGTTATTGTTTTTTCTCATGAACCCGATTCGGGACGTAAACATTGACGTCAAGTATCGTCTACAATTTCGGCTTGCAGACGCCTCTCACCACAAGTATAGTTTCATGTTTCTTCTCTTATGAATACCTGTGATCTCACCAATATTCACATTGTTCATATCACAGATTGCTAAAAGAGGAAAAACTAAAATGGAAACTAAAGTATGTTTTGAATAATAAATTGTGCTGCAATGGCTCCGACTAGAAATCAGACATTCATCTATTGACTTGGAGTTCAGGAGTCCGTATTTGCCAACTTCTATTCGGTGAAGATGTAGTATGATCACTATTCACTGCCATCGTTGAGTAATTATCTTTATGGTTAATTCACTCACTGAATAGACGAGGATCGTTTGCTCGGAATTCAGGTGATTCACGTTTTTGACGGCATCAATAATTCAAAAAAATCTTTTTGTTTTTGATCTTATGTTTTTGAGTAGTTCGATTACTGGATAGCACTATTTTAAGGAAACAAATGAAACAGTATCTGTGTTACTCTTGATTCTGCTTTCTTGCTCCTTCACTCCGTGTTATTATAGTCATCGGTGACTTATTTCAGTCTATCTGGTACATATATATATATATATATATATATATATATATATATATATATATATATATATATATACAATATTTGTGCTATACTTCAAAACACCTATTAAATACTGAACCATAAAACTATATACTACTTATTGTTTGAGATAAGTAGTTGTATACTACTCATGTCAATCAGTAGCACTTACTAGCCGGTCGGATCAAGGGGATCCAAACATCGGTTGATGTAGGTGGTATATAACTACTCATCTCAACCAATCAGTAGTATAGAGTTTTATGTAAATAGCCTTACTTTCTTGGTTACCGTTAATGGCACAAGCAGATCAAGTATTATTGTGATTTGACATTTTATCCCTCGAAGGGTGAAATATTTATTCGAGCTAGATTGGTAGTAAAGAAAACAGTATCCAAGTTTATCCTATGCCTAGAGGTCTTTCATTCCTCTTTCCTTCAACCGGTCAAGCTCTTGGTTTTAAAACTTTACTTCATCAAAATAAATGTTCGGTAAACACTCGTTTGGATAATGAAAGCATAACCGCGTAAACGACCAATTACATCTAGATGTCACCACCACAAGGTATTCAGTTATTTGTGAAAGACAAATTGCTCTATGTGTGCTCATTGTAGTGCCTCAAACAACCATGAATTCCTTATGACTACACTTTCTTGCTCAGACTATAATAGTAATAATATATCTATTCCTGTCAGTGCAGGAACACACTAATTGTACAGGCTATTTGAGGCAGTTGGTCGGTAGCCCTTCCTGAGCTACATTTTGTGTTTGATGACAATCTTGGAGGAACTATATTCCCTTCTGAAATTCGAACCCGTTTCACCCAGTTTACTGTAGTCAGAGACGTTATCACTGAGGTATTCGGCCTCCCGAATTGTCTCCTATTGGACTTTATTGCATACTAACTAGTGCAATGCGTCTAGTCGTTGTTTGGTGCAGACCGAATTCTATCAGTCAAATTTGCAATATGGCCACCATGCATACTAAGTGGCTCGTCATCACTGTGCATTCACCTGTGAGTGTTTAATCAAAGTAACCAATAGAGTCCTACAGGAAGAGGATTGTGAGCCCGAATAACTCAGTGTCAACGTCTCTGAATACAGCACACTGGGTGACACCGGTTCGAATCTCAGGAGGACATGCGTTCTTTGCTGACTGGAGGTTAGTTACCGCAGATGACATTTCTCATTGTAATTTTGCCGCATGGATTGTATACTGCTTTATGAAATCTACTTTTTGTTTATTGATACAGTTTACACTGACGATTGTTTATGATTTTTAATTTTGGTTTTCACTTTCTATTCGCGAATAGTGTGTAAATAGGCGTATATAAAACTGAGGAAAAACGAAACATTTTATGCTAATCGTTTTTGGTAAATTGATTCATTATTATTATTGTTTGTTGTTGTTTTTGTCTTTTTCCAAAAAACTTTTTTGTTTTTTCTTTTCTTTTCTTTTGTAGTTTAAAACTATCCCTTCAGTCACATTTACCATGGCGTAAATGTACATCAAATCAGGAAACAATCAATATTTTCTCTGTTGCCTCTGGTCATTTATATGAAAGACTGTTAAGGTATATTATACTGTTCGTAAATTTAAAAAGAAGTTAGACATTTAGTTTTCAAGTGTTGGTTTGCAGTTGTTTGATGATGGGTCGTTGGATTTCGTCATGAGCTGACAACTGTTAGAGAACCTTTAGAAAACTTGCAGGGAGTTCGAGAAAGCTGTTTCGCCCCAGTTTGGGACTCTTAACTAGTAGGCATCCACAGGGGTTCGCACCCGGGACCTTGGGTTTACAAGGCGAGTTTGTAGAACATCAGGTCACTGGGACCTGCTTCGATGTCTCATGATAAAATCCTGTAAGCAATTAAATCCCTGTAAACCAACGCTTGAATGAATATCAATCTGATGCTCACTAGTGACTGGCCCTATTCAGGTAGAGGGTTCTAGTAGGAAGCTGTGACCAGTGATGTACAGCTGGTCGGGGACAAATACTCTCCATCTACGACATTGGCTAGTGGTCGTGAATTGGCTGAAGTTGAAATTCATGCGCTGGTCAATGGATCCAGTCCCAGTGGGTTGATGGTCTACGAGCTTGTCTTGTGATCAGGAGGTCCTTGGTTCGAACCTTGGTGGTGGTGCGTAATGCTGAGGGAGTCCGAAAATAGGCTGACGAGGGAACTATTCAGTACTTCCATCTGGTTTTCCAATGGTTTTCTGACCGATGTCAGCTGATGGTGAAATCCTGTAAATAGTAGTTTATTGGGATTTACAATAACGGTATACCTTCAGATAATCAATCTCTTAGAGAAACCAGATATACATCTATGCTTGATTGATGAATTGTGTGTTCCAACGGTTAGGTGTACTTCAGTTCATCTAGTTAGATCCTTAAAGTCTAGGCGTGCTGGGATTATATATTAGTTTGTGACGAGTAGATTTTAAGTGTTTTCAAAGATTGCTTTATAAGGATTTGATTGACTTCAAAAGTGGTCACGAAATGACTTGATTTAGAGAAACATTGAAAACCAGGGAGTACTGGGCGTCTCCTACGTCTTTCTTCGGGACTCTTCATAACCCTACTATGGGTAGAACCTAAGAAGTCATCAGTTACAAGGCTAGCTCGTTGACCATTCAGTTACTGGAACAACAGAATCCAATTGCGAATCAGTTACAACTTCTGCCAGTTCTCGATGTGTCGTGAGACCACTAGATGATGTTGTCGATGAGTATTTGTTCTTACACCTAACTTTTAGGACCTTGCTAGTCACGACTTCTCACTAGAACTTCAAGCAGTTTCATCCTGCAGTCAGTTGTTGGTTTGCAGCAATTTAATTGGTTTTAAGCATAGTTGTATCCATGCGTTTGTATGTTTAATTTGTTTTTATTGTATAACCGGTGTTCAAATTACCTTTCTAGCCGTAGATGTTTATGACTTCCAGTTAAGTCACATTAGGTCGTGTACAAGCTAGGAGACAACTAGTTTTTGAAAAAGTTGACTCCATGTGGATGGAAAGCTTTGTATTGTAATATGTTTCCATTCTCTACAAAATTTGGAGTACATACATAAAGGTGTGCTGCTATGAGATCACAATAATTAGGCTTCACCAAGAAATATTTTTTTCTCTTTGATTTGAATAAAACTAATCTTTTTCGCGCTTCATTTATTTCTTTTCACCCTTACATTTCTTGGTTTCCTGGTATTATTCTACTTTTTTTCCATCCTTTTGCATCTGCTGACAATTAGTAGTTCGTTTCGCCCACTTCCCTTATTTGGAAGTCGTATCAATCCAGAGTTGGACTGATTGTTGAGGAAACCCCATCACGGATACTACAAGCTCGTGTGCCACGTCATCTCTGTCGTAGGCGTGATATATCCGGATATCGATAAAAAGATGTGTGTAGTGTGAATTAGTTCTCTCTGTCCTCCTTTATAGCTGTTAGACATAGACATTGAAAGTGGAGGATATGAAAAAGCCAGCTGTCTTTGATCATAGGTGTTTCCGTTCTGTCACCAATGTTACATAGTTTAATACGGTGAGTAGTATTGAGGTTTGGCGTCGAGTTTTAAGTAAGGAAGGCGAATCAATAGATGAGGTTGTACAGCTACATCGATTGAGGCGATAGCTAATAAATGTATAAATTATAGCTAGCCATCACCAGGCTACCTGCATAGAGTCATCGGGATTCTAAGAATCAATGCCTGGAGATAATTGTTCATATGACTGTTAGTCGTCCTCACTGGTGACTGGATGTATTTACTTTTTGTGGTCTGCTGTATTCATTGAAACTCTGTTGTTTTCCCACACTACTATTCCTTTTCCTTCACATTTCTCCTTATTATCGTTCTTTTCAATCTTTCTTGTTTTCTGTCATTTGTCTTCCTTCGTGTGGTCGATGAAGTGTGGCAACTAGAACTGATGCACTTCTGTGCAAAGTTTTATGTTGAAACTAGTCAGTGAGTCAGTCAGTCATGTGCTGTGTTAACGTCTGTGACCGCAGTAGTCACTGGGTGACGCGGATTCGAATCTCTCATAAGGGACATAAGTTGTTCCTTCAATGTGGTTGCAGATACGCCTTACTGACTGGGAGTGCCAACTAGGAACGGAACCAAGGTCAGGCTATCCAATTCCTAGAGAAAATCAGAGGCATCCAAATAGATGAACAAAAAATAATGGTATCCTTCGACGTGACAGCATTATATACCTCCATCGGACAAAAACTAGCAAAAAAACCATGGAGCAATTACTTAGCAACGACGAACAACTTCCACAACAATCAAAAATGCAACACACAAGCTGGATAGAATGCATAAATCTATGCCTAACAACATACTTCCAATTCAACGGCCAAATATATGAACAAGTCAAAGGAACACCCATGGGATCGCCAATATCAGGTTTGATTGCAGAAGCAGTGATGCAAAGACTTGAAAACATAATTCTACCAAAGATCAAACCCAAGATTTGGATACGCTACGTCGACGACACATTTGTAATAATCAAAAGAAACGAATTAGACAAAACTCACAACTTAATAAACAACGTCTTCAACGACATCAAATTCACAAGAGAAGAGGAATCCGAGAACAAAATACCATTTTTGGACGTCTTAGTCAAGCGAACAACCACAGGGGAGTTAGAAACTCAAGTTTATAGGAAATCAACTCACACAGACCAAATCCTAAATTACAACAGCAACAACCCAATAACACACAAAAGGAATTGCATACAAACACTATTCAAGAGAGCAAGGACTCACTGCAGCACTCCCACCTTAAGGAAAATTGAAGAAAAGTATCTCATGGACGTCTTCCAAAAGAATGGATATCCACGGAATTTCATCAAGAGACATATACCCCCAAGCCAACCTACCAAAGCAAAAGCCACCAAGGAAAACACAAAGAAAATCGCCTTACCATACATAAAGGATATCTCAGAAATCACTACAAGAGTCTTCAAACCTTTAGGAATTGATGTCGTACACAAACCAACAAAGTCGCTTCACTCAATTCTATGTCAACCAAAAGACTCAACAGCGAAAGAAGACAAAACCAACATCATCTACAAAATAAATTGTAACAACTGCGAAAAACACTACATTGGCCAAAGTGGACGTCCCCTTCGTCTTCGTATCCACGATCATAAGTTAGCCGTCAAAAGACATGATATCCACTCCCTCATATCACTACACACAGACAACCACGGACATCAATTCGACTGGGACAACGTTCAAATATTAGACAGAGGAAATAACAAGAATGCTAGAGAATTTTTAGAAGCTTGGCATTCCAGTGAATCATCAATCAATAGACACATCGAGATAGACAAAATTTATCAACCAATAAGAAAGAAACTTCACACACAAAGGGTTAAAGTTCAAGTCAAAGAAACAATCAGTTCCAATACAAGTAACCTAGAGGGTGTGAAAACACACAAAAACAACCAATCACGTCCAAGGTCACCAGGAGAGATTACTGATAAACTCGTGGAGAAATCTAAAAGCTCACTTCAAATTGAAGTATGCGCTGAAGATGTCACCCAGTAGGGTGATGAAAGCTTCGCAAATTAACCATCCAGCTCAGAGAACAAAACCACATCAAAATCATCCACCTGAGCTACAAATCTTATCTAGAATTCGGTCTGTACTAAACAGAGGACTAGACACATCATACTAGTTATCAAGTAGTGTCTAAACAAAACTATTTTGTTTAATTAATCATACATTCGTCTTTAGTGACTAATCTTCATCAAATATTTATTTATTGAAATATTTCATCTTCACATTAAACTGTAGTCTTATCCTTATTGTATTTTTTGTTTTTGTTTTTTCTATTCTTCACGCTTCAGAATTATGATGTTAACTGTTATCCGGCATACAAATTCACCGGTGAAATTTTGGTTTTTAAAAAATTATCTTTCACCAACATTTAAAGATTTTATACCATATATGGCAGCGGAATATGGTTTTGAATATGAATTTGTTCAGTACAAGTGGCCACGTTGGTTACACGCCCAGACAGAGAAACAACGTATTATATGGGGTTATAAAATATTATTCTTAGATGTTTTATTCCCCTTGAATGTAACGAAAATTATATTTGTAGACGCTGATCAAGTAAGTTAAATTTCTTCCAGCCCCCTCAACCCGCCCTGGACACATTGTTTATGATGAAAATGAGTATAATTTACTTTCTTATATTGTATTAGAATGTCACAATTTGCTGTATGATGATTAGCACTGAGATCCAGGATGTGCATCTCATCCTATTCGGGACTCTTCAACCCCCGGTATATCTGCATTCTGTAATGAGAGCTAGTGTTCCCCACCGAGACTCGAGCCCACTACTAACCTTGGTTTCAGACGTTGAAGCCTTGTCCACTAGATCATTTGGGTTACGAAAGCCACCTGTTGTACAACAGGCATCAGTTATTATTTGTTTTACAAAAAATTCAGTTTTGATTACCCCATTAATTGATGAGGCCTAAATGTTTGGCCTCTGTGGACAAAGTGGATCCCGCTGCTAATCAATATCCAGTTAATCCTCGGATATTGTTGAAACATCCGTACTAGGAGCCGACATTTCGGTCTAATTAGTCAACGGGAAAAGGGAATTAAAAAGGACAGATATTCTTCTTCTTATCGTTTCCTTTAGTTTTTTGTGGCACATAGGGCTTCAGCCGCAGATCTCCATTGCGTTTGTTTCTCCGTCAACGTTTTCACCTAGCTCCACGTCTACCCACATGCTTTCATCTCCTCCTCGCATGACTTCCTCCATTCCGTGCCAGCCCCACAATGAAGACCATCTTGCCGCTTCCCTTTCGGACGCCACGCCAGCGATGGTCTGGCATGTGATATCACTTGATGATGGTCTTTTTGGTTCTCAAAGTATGGCTAATCCACCCCCATTTCTTCCCACATATTTGTTGCACAATTGGTTACTGATGGGTTGGTTCGCTTCCAGAGATTTCTCCGTGTTGTTGGTCTTTTCTGGCCGGCCATCTGATTTTGAGTAGTAGTGAGCAAAGACAGTTGTTGATGAAGGTGTGTAGTTTGTTTGAAGTGCCCTTCGTGACGTGGCGTGGCGCCAAGTCTCTGATCCGTGAGTATAGTTAGTAGCACTGACTTCACATTGGAGTTGAAAATCCGGATCTTATTTTCATTTTCATGTTGAGTCAGTCAGTCCTGTTGATCTCCACACAGACTTGAGAGTAATGAAAGCTTGCCTTGCTTTCTCGATCCTCGCTTTGATATCCTGATCAGTTCCGTCCACCTGTAGTTGAAACGAAAGAATAAGAGATCATGAACTTTATGAGGTAGAAAACCAACCAAAAACCTGTCGCCCAATAGATATGCAGGAAAAATTGGAGATGCAAGGGACATACTACTAAGAGGTCTTTGAGTGATACTACGCTTTAGGCCTTAGAATGGAGCCCAGGTAGGATTCCAAGGGTGACATGGATGAGTTTCATTGATGGGAGCCTGTGATCGGTCGCGGTTCCAGTTGGAATTAACTGCAGATAACAGGATGAAATGGGGATGTGCTGCTAAAATCCTTTGTTGCACTCAAAACACTTGATGTCAAATGTCCAAATCGATAAAGATCCTTAACCCAACTCTAATTGCAGATGAATATGTGCAGTAACCGACGAGAGAATATCAGAAAACGGATTGTCAATACCAAGGTTGTTTGTCTCTTCATCGATGGCGAACTAGAACAACAAAATTGCAAAGCAATAAAAGTCTATGAATAAATGTCAACACAAACCACAATAATATTTATGTTCTTTTTTCTTTAGTCTTCTACCAAACAGAGTATGATTAGGCAACGGTTGTCATTGTTGTTTCCCGCCAAATGGAGATAGGTTCAAATGAAAAAAAAACACATGTGGTTGATTGAACACTGATTCACCAACATTGATACATGGGAATAATAATAATAACACTAATAAAATAATATATGTTAAGTCGTTACTTTATTAGGCTCATGTATTACCATTTTATTTATATAAGCTTGTGTTTATGACATATTACGTGGAAACTATAAATTCCATTTACTACGTTTTATGTTTTATGAATAGAGATATGAGTTTTGTTTTAATCGATGTTATGAATCAATTTTTCTTCTCCCTCCATTTTGCTCTATAGATCGTTCGAGCAGATTTAAAAGAATTAGCTGATTTTGATTTAGGCGGTGCACCATACGGTTATACACCATTTTGTGATTCACGTAAAGAAATGGATGGTTTTCGATTTTGGAAACAAGGTTATTGGGCTAATCATTTAGCTGGTCGACCATATCATATTTCAGCGTTGTATGTTGTCGATTTAACACGTTTTCGTCGATTAGCTGCAGGGGATCGACTTCGTGGTCAATATCATGGTTTAAGTCAAGATCCGAATAGTTTATCGAATTTAGATCAAGATTTACCCAATAATATGATTCATCAGGCAAGTCTTATTCCTTTTCTTTTATTCCTCTACTTTCCCATTGGAAAATAGTGGCTTGAAGTTTCGGCAGCAGTGGTATTTATTTTCACAGGATGGGGTTACTCGACTCATGTCTAACCTTCCCTCTTCACCAGTCTTATTACTGGCTTAGTGAGGTAAAAGAGTGCGTCGGTCGGGGATCGAACCCCGAACCACCTGTGTAGTTGGCAAGCATCCTATCGCTGTACCACCGACGCACATCTGTGTGATTAATTGTTTTTTTTCGACTAAATCTTCATCCCACTGTACGGATGAATTTCAACTGATCAGTAAAAATGTAGGTTTTCAAGTTCCCGGCCAATAATTATCCGAATATCATCTTGTATGGTTAAGCAAGAGACAAAAGACTTCTTTCATGTAATACTCAGTTACAATGTATAGCAATATCATGTTGCCTAATTAAGTGACTGTAGTGAGAAATTAATTCAGAAACGTAGATCAATACAATAGACGTTAATGCTTCACTAGCTATCATCCATTCGGGTCGTATATTTGCTAGTAAGCCAATATTGATGGTTTAGGGCAATCAGAGGATGAATGCATAAGAATGTTATTTGATATGTAGTTGGGTAAAAGCGAATCCACCTATTGTATAAGAGAAGTGTCTCTTGCGGTTTGACAGTCTTAGTGGATAACTCTTCCTCTTGAGTTAAGCGTTTTATTCCCCTTAAATAAGGTAACATTGGGAAGGTAATACATCCAGCTGGTCAACTCCAAATTTTACCAAACTTGTGTCCTGCAGTTTATTGTTAGTCACTCACTAGCAAATAAAATCAAGTGAAGTTTAAAGGTGTTGTAAAAGAGCGCTCATATGCCTACAGAAACCGATCATTTCGGTTCAATAAAACGAATGACAAAGAACCATTGAAAACCTAGGAGTAGTGAGTAGCTGTCCCATCCTAGCATGGGGCTTATGAGAAGTATCCATCAACGGGTTTGAAAACACAACCTACGGGTTAGTAGGAAAGCTGCTAGACCATTCATTTAGCCACTAGGACCGGATTTAATCCCCCATGAATTCTGACTTCTATCAATTCCTGATTTTAGCACTATCACCAGCCAATGTTATCGGTGAGCATTTGTCCTCACTCCCGACCTGGTGATGTAACCCACTGGTCATGACTTCTCATTAGAACTCCAGTCAACTTCGTGTTGTAGGTAGTCACTAGTGAGCATCAGATCAATTTTTAAGAGTTATTTCTTGGGAATTCTACTTATTTCAAGTTTTACCACTGATTGATATCAGTTAGAGAACCATTGAAAGCCACGGAGTACTGGCTGAACAATCTGTGAGCTTGACTTGCAACCAGGAGGTCCTGGGTTTGAACCCAGGCAGATGGGTACTGCCGACGAGTTCTGAACTAGGACAAAATAGCCATCCAGTACTCCGTAGTTGGCTTTTCAATAGTTCTCTAACTGACATCAATTTGTGATCAAACGCTAATCCCTCCAAACTAACTCTTAAAAGTGACAGAAAATTCACAAACTTCGGTTAATGCTTAAGTATATCCACAGATGAATTCCTACTCGATGAAGAGAATCAGCAAGCACATAACTGTATGAAACAAACTTCTTACCATCGATAAAGCAAGTTAGTGCAACTAAAGACAATCAAGTAGTCAATTAGTAAAAGCTTACTAGAGGATCAATCATTTCTCTTTGCTATAGGAGTTAGCATTTAACATTTCTTGTATGCTGATAGCCTTTTTTTTTCAAAGTACAACTATAGCAAATTTTTGGTAGATTTGGTTAAGGTAAGATAATAGCTTTATTCCAAAACAGTACTTGTGATACAAAGTGGAATTCTCAGCATTTTACTACAATATTACATCCAGTTAGTACATTAACAATAAATAAAGTTCTACGTAGATTAAAGTTATCTCAGTCGGTTTTGACAACAACATATTAGCATGTCGGTAGCAAAGCCAAAATTTTAAACAGAGTGTTTGAAGGTGTTAGAAAAGTAGATACTACTAGCATATTTACTGGCGTAAGCGATAGCAAAATGGTCGAGATATACAGAGTGTGAAAGAACGAACAAGAATGTTTTAAGTAGAGTTTGTGAGGAAGAGAGAAACAAAACAGCACATAACAAAAATAAATACAGAAAAAAAAGGGAGAGAGAAAAAACGTTGTACCTGTGAATGATGTGAGTTGGAAAGACGAGATCCAGTGTTCTATTGACAATTTAATAAGTTAGAGGTTTCACGCCTAATGCTTTCTTTATCGCACAGAACACGAGCTAGGTAGGGTATGGATGAGTTTTTATACTCACTATATAGGCTTCTGGCTTTCCCTGAAGAGATACAAGGGGAGAATTGTGAATAAAGAGGGTGTTGTGAGTCAGATAAAATGGATTTTGCCCATTTTTAACATGAGTCTATGTTCCTGTCCACCAGAATATTAACAAGCTGGCTAAGTGGCAAACTGCTTACCCTGTTTGCATGAGAAACACTGCATAGATACAAAAATCATTAAAAAAATATCGATCATTTATTGACACACAAATATGAGAACAAAGTTCTGAGAATAATCAGGTCAAAAGTTTTTATTAACACTGTACTTTTTACATTGATAACGTATTTTATTGAAGAGCGCTTTGCAGAAATGTCTAGGTTTGATTCTTATGCTGTGTGAAGCTCATAATGCAGAAGTCTTATAAATTTTCTTGGAATTAATTATTTTAGCTAGTTTGAATTTAAACCGAAGGATAATCATGTTTCATTAGGGATCTAATACTCGATGAAAGTGTTCAGCAGTTCACCCTGTCCTCCTTTATGGCTGTGAGTGGTATAATAAGGTGAGCAACATCGAGGTTAGGCTTGGGTCGAGTGCCAGGTAAGGAGGGGAAATCAATCGATGAGGTTGTGGTGCTACGTTGATTGAGATGGTTAGGACATGTGTTGCGCATATCTAGCCATTGATGGCGTTCTTCAACAACGGGCGATGTTAGCTGACAGGATGGATCAGCTTGGAAAAGAGATAGCACATGGTGGTCATACCGAAACATGGCTTCATCAGTCAATGAAGTCCGCAATAGTTAGTTTAAGCCAGCCATTCAGCCACGTAGGGAGGTGTAGACTACCTGGCTGGTTGGGTTTCGCGGCATGGTAAAAACCAATGAAGACTTCAGACTGTCTGTCTGTTTGCTTTCAACATAGAAATTTGCACCGATGTACAGCAGTTCGAGTCGCCACACTGCACTCAGCACACAAAGTCAGAGAAGAAAGTAAAAAGAAACGAAAAATAGAGAAAGTAAACAGAGAGATGAGGCAAAAAGAATAATGATAATATCGAAGAAAATACAGTTTTATTGGAAATTGTAAGTCACAAGGAGTGGATGCATCTCTGCCATTGAGAACGATGAGTTTGAGCCAAATCACCAATTGTCTCCAGCCATTGGTGTTTACCGTCACAAGGATTCCAACCAGTCAAGTAGTCCACACCTCCTTGCCTTTGTGGCTTAAACTAACTGTTGTGGATTTCATTGACTGGTGAAGTCATGTTTTGGTTTGACCACCGTGTGCTGGCTCTTTTCCAACCTGATCCATCCTATGTCAAGTAACATTGTCGGTCGAGAAAGGCAATGTCTAGCCATGCGTAACACAGGTCGTAACCGTCTCAATCGATGCAGCTGCTTCACAACCTCGTCTACTGATTTCTACTCCTTACCTAGCACTGGACGCCTAACCTCAGTATTGCTTATCGTACTATGCCACCACTTCACACGGGAGATAGAGCACAGGCACCTATGATCAAAGACAGCTAGCTGACCTTTTCATGCCTTCCACTCTTAATGGCCATGTCTCACAGTCAGTCATGAAGGAGGACGGGACAGACCGCTGAGGAGTTTGCTCGCCTTTTGGTCGGCAGCCAGCCGGATATCACGTCTACTGCAGAGACGGTGTAAACTGGTATATGCGAAACGAGCTCTCTGCATCCGTGTTGAGATTTCGTCGACGATCAACTCTTTGGAGCTGATGAGGCTGCAGGCGATCGGTGATATGGCTCAAACTCATCGTGCTAAATGTCTGGTGCAGATGCATTCACTCTTTGTGATTTGTAATACTCAATAAAGTTATATTGTTCCTCCATATTACTATTCTTTTCTCCTCATATTTCTGTTTATTATCTCTTTCTCTCTCTCTTTTGAATCTCTCTTTACTCTGTTCTCTGGATTTGTGTGGTACATAGAGGGAGTGTGGCAACTCGAACTGCTGCATATGTGTGCAAAACAGTTCTACGTTGAAACCAGTTCGTCAGTGAGTCAGTGAGTTTAATCCTGTTTGCCCCTTGTGATAAATCTTAATTGTAGGTAACGTATGTTCAAAGGTGAACAATTCCATGTTGTCATTTCGGTTTCATTGAATATATTTTTCGCTAATGTATTCGTTACTTTATCCATTTCGAATTATAGGTACCAATCAAATCTCTGCCTCAAGAATGGCTATGGTGTGAAACTTGGTGTTCTGATGAAAGTTTAGCAAAGGCTAAAACAATAGATTTATGCAATAATCCACGGACAAAAGAACCTAAACTGACAGCAGCAATGCGTATTGCACCAGAATGGGTAGATTATGATCGTGAAATTAAAAAATTATGGAAACGTGTTTATCAATCTTCACCACAGACGCCTACAGAACATACAATCCAAGAGACTAAGTCTACAGATACTCCATCGACTTCTACGCCTCGTACTGCATCAGAGGATACTACTTTGAAAGTTGGTATGTGATCATTTATTTCATTATGATTTTGATTTGTGTGTAAATGGAAGCATAGGTCTTATCATCAGTTGTTCACATGGACTCTGCTTAGAGTACCTAGTTAGAACTGGCAAGAAAAGTCTGTCTCTTTTAATTGTATTAAACTCATTATCTTGTTATGAAGTGCAGCATTTGATATCCGTTATCATCGGAACAGGGTTTTCATGTACTACCATATTTTATTTTTTTTATTTTTGATTGCAGCTTGATTCCACACCGTATTTTTGGTACAGGTATGGAATTTTCAGCATGGATATCGGTAGCCCAAATTTCGCAGGCCGACCATAGATATCAGGTGTGCGTCGGCCAGGACTCGAACCCCGGACCATGTGGATGGTCGGCGAGAGTTCTAACCACTGTGCTACCGACGCATACTGTGAGCCAAACGTAATGTCCGATGACTGATCATAATATACGCAGTTTCCCATCTGCAGTAGTTGAAGTGGTGTATCTCTCATTTCAGAGAAAGGAATAATGTTGTTATTTATTGCAAAATATAGACTGGCAGTCGAACTTCTACCTCAGCAAGTTTATCGATTTCGGAAAGGCCTTCGCCAGACAGCGTTAACCGAGAAGTAAATTTGAAACTGCCCCAACACTACGGCGTGCAGTGCCCAAGTCTTTATCAACCTCATTCAACTGCTGGTTGGCTATATATGTCAGGTGATCCACAATGGAAAACTCAGTGAGGCTTTTGAAGTGAAGATGACAGGAGTAAGACAAGCTGGCTGGCTGTCTGACTATTATCACCACCGATAATATTCTTGATTGTGGTGAACTGGATTGTGCATCAGACTGTGCGTTGGGAGTAAGCAGATAGGGATACGCTGCACTGACCGAAAAGAAGACTCTAGGAGATCTGGATTTCGCTTGTGGATCGAAGGCTTGCAGTGAGGCGAAAATGAACAAACTGGCAGAAGAGGGTGTCAGGCGGCTAAGACAGGATTCCAGGTGGAGGTGGAGAACATGGAGGTGATGAAGATAACCAACCAGTCAACCAACAGCATTAACAACCAGTACCAATCACCATCATCAGGAGAGATTTGAAAGAGGTTACTTCCTTCACTTATTTGTCCAGGAAGCACAGGTGGAATGAATAAAGATGTCAAAGCAGGTCAGCCAGAATCGGAAAAACAAGATTTATCCTTCATCAACCTGAAGCCAATTTGGAAATCTTCTGCATTCAACCAGCATACTGAACAAGATTCGGGTTTTCGGCACAACTGTGAAGTCGGTCACTTCTTCTATACAGGTTTAAAACTTGCACTACGTGTTCCGAACAGGATTTCTAACAACCTACGGGCATTTATCAACAGCTGTCACCTTCTCTGGCTGACTCCAAACTCAAGATTAAATGGCCGACCGACCGGCCAGAAAGAATTGTCGACAAGAAATTCTGGCAGGGAACAAACCAACGAAGAGCCGATTACCCAATGAATATGTAGGAGTAAATGAAGATAGATCGGGCATATATTGAGGAGGCCGTCGAATAACATAGCGTACAATACAGGCGGTCGCTCGAGTGTAATCTCAATGGGAAGCGACTAGTGGGTCTTCGGTGCGATGTTGACATAGAGGAGATTGTGTGGCTAGAAGGAGAGGGTAGCAGAAAATAGAATGAAGTGAAGATATGTTTTTGAAGCCGTATAGTTTTATTAGGAACCCAGGGGAATAATAGTAATAATACAATTGTAAAACTTAGGACTGGAACGCACTTCTTAAGTCAAATTAACAATTTGCAAATTGATCGATGGGGTAAAAATTTCACTACATTATTCAGATCACAGTCGTTGTTCTACCGCATACCATTAGTGGGAATCAAGATGAATAGTTGCACACAACTATTATCAAGCGGTAGTGCTTACTAGCCAGCGATATTGTGGTGATCTAGACATCGGATGGCTATTTATGTCGTTTGGAGCCGAACTCATCAGCAGTGTACTCTGTTTAACTCAACTCAGATGGAGACAGCTGAATGGCATACAACTACTCATTTCAGTAAATCAGTAGTATGTAGTTTTAATGCAAACCTACTTCTTAATTACACTGATTTCTGACCGAAATATCTGAATATTCTTAGCTCAATCTTCTTATAAAGTATCGCTGAAAAAAAAACAACAAACAGAAACTTGAATGGAACCATTTTATTTGTTCGACTGATATGTTAATACAGAGTGCAATACAGAAAATCGTCCATGAAAATTGGAACTTTAAAATGTTAAACTCCTCAAAACGAAATAAAAATAGTATGAATAGTCATTGACAAAAACGTATTCAGGTTGTCAAAACCTATCTAGATATATTTTGATTGGACACTAGTCAGTAAGTAGTGTGACGTGTCTAGTCCTTTCTTTGATGCACACCGAATTCTCAGTCAGGTTTTGCAATGTGGCCACCATGCTCGCCATCACGGTGCACATTGATTTGATGATATTAGATAGTTGGAGGCAATCGGCAGGAAGCCTGATTGATAGAATTCAGTCTGTATCAAAGAAAAGACATCACACTTGTTACTAGTGTCAAATCAAAATACCCACTACAGTCCTACAGGAGGTCAATCGCGAGCCCGAATAGCTCAGTGGTGACGTCTCTGACTGCAGCACTGGGTGACGCGGGCTCAAATCTCAGAAAGAACGTGAGTTCCTTCAGTGTAGCAGATACCCCTTGCTGATAAGTGCCAATTAGCATGAAACCTGGATGGTGTCCAAGGCTTCTTGTGGCCGATTACCTCCAACTATCTAGTATCTAGATATATTCGAAAAGAACAATAATAAAAGTTTCAGCTGATTATAAAACAGGTCCTTTTTATGTATATGGTATCTTATCAGTTATGTCGGTGGCATAGGTGTAGAATGCTCGCCAACCACTCATTTGCTTCAAGGTTCGATCCCAGACCGACGCACTCCCTTATCTCACTAAGCCATAAATAATCGTGGTAAAGAGGAAAAGGTTGGCCATGATGAGGCTAGCAACCCCATCCTGTAAAAATAAACACTACAGAAACTTCAAGCTCCTAGCTTGAAGCCCTGTGTTCCACTGGGAACTTTTTTTTCCTTCGCATTAATCAGAATTCAACCGTGAGAAGTAGATTAATAAAGTAGAATATTCTCTACAAGGTGGATTCAACACTCCATCCACAGGAACCATATACTCAGGCTTCTAGCAAACAATCCAAAATGAGAGTAATCTTGATTCATTCAGACAAAATCATATACTAAAGAAATACATTATCAATATATCGCACATCGATAAAGCAAAACATTGAAGTAAGAGATTAAACAGTGACAAAAACAAACAATAAGGATCAAGTCAACGTTACATGACTTGCCTCATTCTGATGTAGCCACTTTTGTGAAGTATGCCGATGACCTCTCTGTTTCTATGCCTGTCAATCAACTCTCAGTCAGATTGTTTCAAATTAAATAACTTTCTGTCGGAAATTAGTCAGTGATCCTCTTCAAACTGACTTAAGCTTAATCCGTCTAAATGTCAGGTAGTCAATTTCACTTTCAGACGTAAACGTGACCTATAGCGACTAGTTAGCTCACATGGCCCCACTATCATTGACGGCACAGAGGTTGAAAATATATCTAATGTCAAGTACCTTGGGGTGAGTTTTTCCACTGATCTTTCCTGGTCTTCCCACATCTTGCTAGTTACTAGAAAGATGTTTCTCTTAACGTTCTGCATTAGGAAATTTAGGCAGTCTGGCATAAAGCAATCTTTACTTTCTCAATTTGTAAATTCTTGTATTCTACCCATCCCCATTTACTGCCCCCCAATAATATTTCCTGGACTACTTAAGGAAGACTTTGCTTTGCTTTGCTGAGAAGGGCACTAAAAGCCGTTAGTAGGGCGAGTGGGATATCGTTAAACCAACTGGTGAACACTATTGTAGATAGACATATTATGTCATGTAAGAAACTAGCGAATACAATAATGTCGGACCCCGAGCATCATCCTCTCTATACACAGCTGTCTCCTTGCATTTCATCTGGTAGAACTAGAAGCAGCTATAGGAGGCTATATGCTAGGACTACCAACTACAAAACTCCACAATACCATATTTGGCACAGCTGTTATGTGATGAGAAATCCGTTAGGTATGACACGATCAACTTACCGCGGCACTATAACAAGTAGTCCCATTAGTTTTTGTTTTCCTTTCCTCGTTGCTATTACACTGTTGTTCTCATCCTCTATCACACATCAACTTTATACTTCATATCCTGTGGTGTATTGTTTGAAATGTAAACTCTACGCTGCTTTTTTTAAATTTTTATTTATCTTTTATTCTTTTGGCGTTGGTTTTTTCATTTACTTATTTATTTATTTTTGGATTTTAAAAGTCTTATAAAATTTATGAGGTAATTAGATGCAATATATTGTAATGCACGCTGAAAATTCCTTACCTGTACCACAAATACCGTTTGGAATAAAGCTGTTAATATTATTATTATTCCCTTTGGTTCCGAGTGGAACATACGGCTTCAATAACACATCTCCACTTTGTTCTATTTTCTGCCATCCACTTCAGCTGAGTCCATGATTCCCCAAATTCTCTCATCCCTTCTTCAAACAATCTCGTCCATGTCACCCTCGCACTGACGATTGACTCGTTGCTTCTCATTCAGATCCCACTCGAGCGATGACCTGACCTGCATTGTACGCGATTCCATTCGATGGCCTCCTCAACTTATACCTGATCTATCCATCTCCATTTTCTCCTGCATATTTGTTGAGCAATTGGCTGTTGGTTGGTTGGTTTATTCCCGCCCAGAGTTTCTTGTTGCTAATTCTTTCTAACCGGCCATTTGATTTTGAGTATGGAGCAGCCAGCCAGAGAAGGTGGCAGCTGTTGTGATAAAAGTCTGCATCAGCGTGTTGGAAATTCTTTTCGTGACTCACGTGCAGTGCAAGTTGTTGACCCGTACAGAAGGACCGACTTGACATTTGTGCTAAATTAAGTCGACATTTGGTATGCAAATATCAAAAAATTGATATCCAATATAGTAGAAAAGATGGAAATACCTACAAAGTTAGTATCAATATTCTGATTAGATCATTAAAGATGGATTTTGCAAACAATTATATCGTTAATTCAATTTTAGATTTTCCTGTCGATTGATTGTACAGAAGTGGTCGGTCTCAGGTTGACATGTCGGCTTCTTGTGCAGATGCTTCAACGATCTCTTGGCATGTAATTAGAAGTTAATTGGTGGATAATGACTAGCAGTGGAATCCACCAGGATAACGCGCATTTCGTCATATTTGGCACTCGTCAGCACATCCTGGATTCCACTGCTAGTCACCATCCACCAATTAACTTCTAATTATATCATTCGCCAATGACATTCTAGGTCATGATGATATATATACGTAGAAGGTACAAAAAGCGGTATCTTAGGAGAATTCATTGTCTGTCACTCAAACTAATCAATAAATTGTTGTCGTCATCGTTATCATCGTCTGAAGATCTAACCATGAAAATGCCAAATTGGATGTTTTCATGAAGAAAAAGATGCTTAGGATTATTAACACTATTTAGCATTCTTATAATTATAATGTTAAATTCAAGTTTTGGTAGAGATTTGTAGAGATTTGATTGGTTACAGGACTTCATCATGAGCTGACAATAGTTAGAGAACCATTGGAAAACCAGCGGAGTACTGGACAGCTGTGTCCTGACATCAGTAGGGTGCAGTAGGTCGGGTGTGAGGACAAATACTCACCGAAGACATTGGCTAGGGGTCGCACTATTTCGTGAATTGGCAGAAGCTGGAATTCATGGGCTGGCCATTGGATCGGGTCCCAGTGGGTTAATGGTCTACGAGCTAGCTCACCTTGTAACCAGAAGGTCCTGAGTTCCAATACTGGCGGTGGGTGCGTACTGTGAAGAGTCCTAAACTAGGACGAAACAGCTGTCCAGTACTCCCAGGTTTTCCAATGGTCCTCTAACTAATGTCAGCTCATTATGAAATCCTATAATGCTAAAGTCAACCGAATAATGATTCACATATATGTATGTACGAAAACAAACAAATATATGAAATTACTGTATCCTAATATTTTTTGTTGTTGTTCTTATTCATTAATTTCAGATGATCACTCCACAAAGACTGAATTGTAAACTTCGCCTTGAAAACAATCTTCAAGATGCTTCCGTCCATATATATATATATATATATATAAAACATTTGTATGTATATTGAGTGTTTATTTTTCTTTCGCTGTGTGTGTGTGTTGGGGGGGGGGTCGAATTCCCAAACATGAATTCATCTATCCCCTTGACTTTTTAGAACTTCTATTAGTGCTTACTAGGTTGTTTTTCTGACAACACCTACTTTTATTGACACTAGAATGATCCACTCTGATCCATTTAGACATCACAACGATAAAAAACATTCTTTACTTTCCCACCTTCTTTTGTTTCACATTGTATACAACATATTTTTCTACAATTCAGTGTATATGTGTATGTATGTAGGTATGTATACATGTTAATTGCTCATTTATGTGTGTGTGCATGTGTGAGCATTTTTTGTCAAATGATAAAATCTTTTTATGCCCTTCTGGAAACGTTGTATTATGTATAGTTTGTAATACAATTCTTGCAATTTACACATGTCTTTTTTATTGTTTCCTTTAATTCCTAGAGGAACATAGGGCTTCATTCGCACGTCTGTCTTGCATTCGGTTCTCTGCTAACGTTTTCACCAGCACCTGGCTCCAAGTCACTCTTGCAACGACGACCAACTCACCGCTTCCCGTTCGGGTTTCACTCGGGTGATGGCTTGTTTAGTGATGTCACTTGATGGTTTTCTCAGAGTATGGCCAATCCGTCTCCATTTTTTCCTGCCTATTTGTTCCTGGTTGGTTCGTTCATTGCCAGAGATCCCTCCCTGTTGGTGATCTTTTCTGGCCGGCCATCTGATCTTCAGTATTGAGCGAAGACAACTGTTATTGAAAGTCTGAAGTTTTTTTTAGATGCTCTTTATGACGCACTGGCCAAGTCTCTGATCCGTATAATAGCACTGACTGACTTCACATTGGAGTTGAAACTCCGGATATTATTTTTGATGCTGAGTAGTGCTGTTGACCTCCACACAGACTTAAGAGTAATGAAAGCTTGTTTTGCTTTTCCGATTCTGGCTTTGATATCCTCGTCAGTTCCGCCTGTAGTTGAGACGATCCTTCCCAGGTAGGTAAAGGAGGTCATCATTTTTATTCAAAACTAACTGTTAGAAAATGATTTCGGCTTCTTTGCGACGAACAGAGTTGATGAATGTACTCTGTACGTTTTTTTCGTACATTTAGTTAAGTATGATCTGCAAACAGTGAAGAGTTATGTTTTCTTTATGTATATTGGTTGGTAGTTTATTTATTTATTGAAGATGACCATTAAAGATCTAAAAGCTTAATCAATAAACAAAGAATATTCTTTGCGATAACCACGTCTTTATCAGGTTCCACAACTATATGAATAACATAATAATTAAGCATTTATTCTTATTAGCAATGCTAATATTTTAATTTACATTGAATAAATAGTATCGATCGATTATAGCTCAAAAGCATTAGTAAGAGAAAGAAATAATATGCATTAATATAACACAGAACAGATTGAATGTCATATGCATTAGGAGAAGTAACACAGAATTTGTGAACTTATAGGTTCGAAAACAGACCAGGGTAGCAATAGTGACTGGCTGGACCTGTTTCGTCTGCAGGCGGAGCTGCGGTTGATTTAAGGGAATTAAAATGATCTGTTCTGTTTGAAGTGTTCAATATCTAGAAGCCTTGTAACGACAAAAGACAAGAGTCAGGCAATAGATCGTTTATTAAGGAAATCAACACGTATTTATATATATATTTCATGTACATTATTATAGCCTATTCAGTCAGACAAACACAGTCTTCTGATTGGTTGTTTCTTACAGAAAGTCGACTCTGCATCTCTTTGTGACTGTTTCTTGAATGTCAGATCATCTATATGTTAACTGCATCTGACTACGCCAAGTGCGCTGTGATTGGTTGTTCAATCAGTCTTGCTCATGTTTTCTCACCACCAATATTTGTGACATACCCATTGACGTAAAATGCTGTCTACCCCCTTTTTGGCTAGCTTGCTCTCACCACAGCCTTTGGTAATTGAATTGATATCCTGTAGATAATAGAGATAAACTAGTCAATGCAGCTTGATTTGTGACCTGTTTGCACGAGGTGATCTAAAATAGGACTTTTAATCGCTTTGACAACACCTTTATTTAACCTCACTAGTTTGGTGATCCACAGCACGAAAAAACTAAGTTCGTAGAGTGACGGCCAGTATAACTAGCTCGGTGGGAGCAGTTTGTAGATTGATAGGTACAATTAGAGGTGGCTGGCTTCGGTCCTTCGCAACCTGTGCAATCCGCTCAAATCAACCGGAGCCGTGCATGTAAAAGGGATAGGTCCACCCAGTGACTATTGCTTCCCTGGCCTGCTCTCGAACACATAAATTCTATGTTACTTCACTATCTAGTGTGATGTTGATGCGTGTCATCTCTCTCTTTCGAATGCTGTCGAACTGTAATCTATCGATATTACTGATTCAATCAATATAATTTCACAGGAACGTTGACTCTGTTAATACAGATAATTCTTTAATTAATACTGTCATATAAATGTAGAACCTGATGAAGAAATGGTTATCGGAAAGAATACTCTTTTTTCCATTAATCAGTCTTTAGAATTAATAGTGTATGTGAGTTTGACCACGGATTGATATCAGTTAGAGAACCATGAAAACCAAGGAGTACTGGACAACCAGTTATTTCATCCTAGCTTGGCAATCATCGGCAGTACTCACCAACAGTGCGTGGGTTCGATCCCAGGACGTTCCGGTTACAAGACAGGCTCGTTTGCCATTCATTCACTGGGACCCGACCCATTAGCAGCCCATGAATTCTAACTTCTACAAATTCGTGATTTAGTGCGACCACCAACCATTGTCCTCGGTGGGAAATCCATCGTCACACACTTGACTGAAAGGATCTCACCGGCTATGAATTCTCACTAGAACTCCAGGAAACTCCGTCCTGCAGCAAGTCACTAGCGAGCATCAGATTAATTTTCAAGAGTAAAAACAAATCTAATCCTTACAAACCAACTCTTGAAAATTAATAGTTTAACTGATTAAAAAGTGCCCATTAAAATTTTTCAAAAGAATGAATACTGAACTAAGAGTACTCTTTTCGATAATTTCCCCTTCATCAGGCTCTACAGTTATATATACATTATAGTGAATGAATGAATGAATTAGTGTTATGAACAGCATTAATGTTGTCTAAATAACATCGAATCAATAATATTGATAGATTACAGCTGAATCGCATCAACATAAAATAAGCTCAATGTCAAAAGAATTAGGAAGGATAATATTACAAACTCATGAGTTTATCATCTCTACTGAAGGCCAGGACAATAGTAGGGGCTGGACTTACTTATTTTGGACACAGAGTGCTGGTTGTTTGAGGCGAATCGCAATAGCCTCTGCGGTGCTTTGATGTTTTTCGCAATTTATCTGGTATCCGGTAGATGGTAGAGAAGGATTCTTCAATGCTGGCTGGCTTTGTGGCCGGCCGGTTTGCACCAGATGGTCCAATATCGAGCTGTTGATGGTTTTACTACACCTTTACTTAGCCATACTGGGAGATGTTCTCGAGCACGAAAAATCAAGTTCCTAGAGCAACGGCCAATATAGTCAGATTTGCAAGGATTGAATCTAGGTATGGAACTCTGGAATCGATTAAAGCGAAATGTTGTTTCTATTTCTCAAAAGGAAATCTTTTTTGTTCAATAAGAACTACATTCTACCTTATCATTTATACCCTTAAGGGCAGTATAAGTAGTGAAGGACTTGTTGACATTTCAGTAAGACTGTTTTGTCTGTGAAGTCAAACAAATTGAAGGGTGCGTCAAGGAGCCTCAATGCATTGAGCTAATTAGAGGTGAATAATGTTAGTGTTTATTTTGGTTGGACACTAGTAACTAGTGTGATGCGTCTAGTCCTCTGATTGGTGTAGACTGAATTCTATCAGTCAGGTTGTAATGGGGCTACCATTCTAGGTATCTCACCATCACAGTGAACACTGATTTGATGATATTAGTTGGTTGGAGGCAATCGGCAGGAAGCCTTGCCTGACCTGAAAGGAACTCATATCCCTTCTAATATTCGAACCCGTGTCACTCAGTGAGTACTGCAGTCAGAGACATTGCCACTGAGCTATTCGGGCTCGCGACTGACCTCCTGTAGGACTGTATCGGATATTTTGATTTGACACTAGTAACTAGTATGGTGTGTCTAGTCCTCTCTTTGGCGCAGACTGAATTTTAGCAGTCAGGTTGTGATGTGGCCACCATTCTAGGAAGGTAGAGGACTAGACACATCAAAATAGTGTCAAATCAAAATATCCAGTTCAGTCCTACAGGAGGTCAGTCGCGAGCCCGAATAGCTCAGTGGCAATGTCTCTGACTGCAGTACTCACTGGGTGACGCGGGTTTGAATCTCAGAAGGGACATGAGTGCGTTCAAGATTGCAGATACACTTTGCTTAGTGGTGAGCGCCAACTAGCACGAAACCTAGGTCCAAGACTTCCTGTCGATTACCTCCAACCATCTAATTATGTTAGTGTTTGAATTTCCATTCACATAAATTGATTGATAAGTGGATGCCTAACAGCGCGATGCTGCCATATAACGTAGTTTGCTCTCTCCTGTGCAGTGTTGAACAAGTTACTAAGGTGTTTCAATGGTTTCTAGATTATTAATTTTGTTATTCTCATGGGTTCTGAGTGGAAAATAGGTTTCAGCAGTACATCTCCATTCCACTCGGTTCTTTGCAGTCCTTTTTAACTGCCTCCGTGATTGCTGACAAGCTTTCATCTCCTCCTCACACGATCTTCTGTATGTCACCTTCAATCCCATATCCAATTCGTCTCCTTTTTGAGTGGTAGGCGATGTCACTCAGCTGTCGCTGCAGCGCATGTCCGACTCATCTTTACTTCCTTCGGTGATAGGTTGTTGATTAGTTCTTCGTCAGTGTCGAGCTAACGAACGTAGGTGTTGGAGAGAGTCTCTAACCTGTTG